CTCAAACCAGACAGATCCTAAATAATGATTGAGGATTGGAGCTAGACGGGCGGCTCGTCAATTCAAGTGAATATACACTAAAACATAGATCAACCCTTTGCCCTTAAGATGAAACTTACTTACAGACCCTATCTGTATGCACCTCGGATGCCTAAAATCCGACACGGCTGAGCTTCTATAATTTCTCAAGCGCGCCAGGTGAGACTACGTATGTTTCAACAAATGTATACCGAATTATGCGCCGTGTTTTGATTAGATGCGGGACGGAACTATTTATAGACAGATAGCAAATAGGCGAAAACAATCGAAACAAATGCATTGGCTGATCTGGCTTTGGTGACGATCATTACTTGTTCTAAAAACCCCTCGATCGACAAAAGTACAGCGGAGATTGCCTCGAGGGAAGATCTTATAACCAAACCCCAACCGTCCTTTCTGCCAAGTCTTATTATACCTTTGAGCATGCCTCGAACGGGTTCCCTCCATAATGGCATTATTGAACTATTCAGACCTAGCGAACACCCTATAGATATTGAGTATGTGCTGGCCTCTAGACAAATTGTAATACTAGCTGACCATTTGGTTCGAATAGTATCGTCGCTGTTCATGGTCTGCAAGGTGACGCTCGGCGAACATGGACTCACGAAGCTTCAAAAGTGTGCTGGCCTAGCGATCTTCTTCCCAACTACATCAAGAATGCCCGGGTCCTGTCCTGGGGGTATACGGCCAACACAAATTCTTTGGGCGGTAAGGCAACAAGCTCAGACCGAATCCTACAGCATGCAGGGACACTTATCGAGGAGCTTCAAAATGACAGAGAGGTAAGCAGTGATTTACACTGTAAGGGAAATTCGTTGCTGGATTTTATTTTCAAACCGTGCTGCCATGGCTGCCATGGCTGCCTTGGACTGGGATGGAGTGTGCCTCCAAGTTACAAGTAACAAATGATGGAACATTTCCATCACAATGATTTTTTGTCAATATTTCAGCTTGGTTTTAACTTCATGTGCTTTGGATCTGAGAGACAAGGAATTTTTTCAGCTGACCGTGCCTAGTTCGAGGATGCTACCGAGAGACCCATCATTTTCATATGTCATTCTTTAGGGGGTATTATAGTCAAAAGAGCCCTCACTTTATCCCAAGGTCGCACGTCAGCGAAGAGTGCTCGACTTCACATGATTTATACATGCACTTACGGCATTTTGTTTTTTGGCACTCCCCACTATGGCTCCAGCAAAGCACGCCAGCTCGGCACCATCCACAAGCTAGCGTCCTTCATTGTTCCTAAAAGAGTCGCTCGCTTCGAAACAAGTCTAGTTACTGGAATCGAGGATGACTCCGAAACAATTCAAAACCTCGCCGAGGACTTCTCTCCATTGATGTCACGGTATCACATCATGTTTCTATGGGAGCAGTTGCGCACCGATATGAAATATACGATGGACTATATCGTGGATCGCGAGAGTGCCGCACCAATATTGGATGGAACGGACAGATGTGGTATCGCCGCAGATCACCGGGGCATTTGCAAATTTGAGAATGTCAACTCCCCGGGCTTCAAGGTTGTTATTGTCGCTCTCAAGCGCTACTGTAAAGCCGCACCAGCAAGAATCAAGGAAAGGCTCATGGAGAGTGCGAACTCTCTGAGCGAGAAAAGAAGATACGAAGCCATGGAGCTTGTTGGGGAGTCACCAGTATCTCCCGTATCTCCCGTCTCGAACGTTTCTTCTTTTTCGGACGTATCTTCCTTGTCGGATACAATAAATCGGTTGAGAATGAAAAGAGACGCCAAGTGGTCATCTTAGTCTCTATATGCACATGGTTTTGATTTAGCTGCACCTTGAAGGTTCTCAATTGAATAAGCTTTGTAACGATAAACTCCAATGTCGCTTTCTGAATTGATAAATTGAGATCTTTTACCGTTGGTGACTGAGTCAACTCAACATACTAGTTCAACCGCCCACGAAGTCTGCCGACGAGAAACTCACTTGACGTATTTCCAAGTTGATTTCCTATTTTTAGAAGTAACTATGTAAATCGTGCCCAGTTTCTCAGGTGACAATCTATTCTAGAGAATTGTTAGGGTGGAATGTAATCGATTCAGAATATAATTGATTCAAGGTAATCTCAGACTTCTACGATACCATGCAAAGCAATTGGAGAATAATAATTATAACACAGGATTTAATATAGAGCTGGTTGGAGAGGTCGATTCCTCCGTACAGCTTGCTGCTAGGTCAAACTTTCTCTGGGGTTTCACACGATTCGCGGATATGACGAGGGTATTGAGACTCCTGTGCTTTTGTTAGTCACTCGATCATTGAGTAATTTTGAAAGAACTTCGAGCCACTGGTTTTGCAAGGAGGAGTCAAATATATATTAAGGAGTTGACCCCTAAGAGGCCCCCTATGATAGGCCGTGGGCCCAAAAGAAAAAAAGTCTAAAGCCTACTTGTCAAAGTCTAGGGCTACTCGTCGAAAATAACGTGTGACTATAACCAGATTCCCACCGTAGTAGCACTACCCACTAGATTGATTTGTTGCTATACTCCCCAAAATCTATTACATTAGTCATGTATTTCAACGTTAGGTCATGCCCTAGTACGCATTTTGCTCGTGACGAAGTGAGGTTGTAGTGATAAAGCGAGACTAGAGAGAAACAGAGGGGAAAAGAAGGGTACTTGTAGCATTTTTGGTCATGATGGGAAATGTACCTTGTGCTGTACGGGCAGAATATTTGGGTGAGGAATATCTGCCCTGAATGCCCTGAATAGAGCGGCGAGCCTCCCACGCCCGAACCGTGGGCGCTAGGTGACCACCACCTTAGACATGCTGATGTATGTTTTTAATTTTCTGTTCTTATTTTTATTCATTCGGAAACTCCCACTTGCTGTCCTACTCTTCTTTCTTCAGTCCGGCCTAGAGGGTGAGTATGTAAGAATCCTTGTAGGATGGCGCGCTGACCGTGCTGACCGTTCGTTCAACTAGGCAATGGCGATATGCTATTAGGTATGACTGTAGGATCTGAAACATTTATCTCTTAGCATCTACATATAGCCACGCTAGGGTTTTGTTGATTGGTGACTTTATGATATAAGCTGCGTCTGAACGGATCACGCGCTACGATAGGACGTGGGCTGAGATTTTGTAAGAATCGCATGGTTTCTATTAGATACTACAATTTATGTAGGCCATCACTACAGGTAAATGTAGTTAAATAATCCGTCTTAGGGCAAAACGAAGGCAATATAGGGTGAAGCTAAGCGGATAGCGTTTAATGACTCGTAAGCTCCAATCTTCATCTTTACTTCCGACAGCACCAATTAAGACACCTCTCCAGTGTCTCATTCGATATAACCCAAATCACGGAATGCTCTTTCTAGGATCTCATGGATCGTTTTATCCTTCCGTTGGTTATAATCCTCCATCGAATCTCCGGCTACAGCCGTCTGTTCAGCCGCTTCGCGTTTCACTTTGGCATAAAGTTCTAGATCCGCTGGCGTTCTGAGTAACCAGTCACGAAAAATACGGTGTCGGGCAACTTCGGGCGAGTCGGGACCCCACACGTGGACATTTACGTGGTAGGCTTTGGGCCAGTTTTCCACAAAGAACCGGTGCTGGTGCCATCGCGGCTCGCGTATGAGGAACCGAAATCCTGCCTCTTCAAGAGGCTTCACATAGGATGCTTCATCCATGGCATCTTTTAGTGTGAGATCAACATCGATGATGTCTTTAGCTGGTAGGCCAGGAACACTGGTAGAGCCGGCATGAGCGATGTCCAAGATCAAGGCCCCAAGGGATTTTTGAATCCGCTCTTTGACTTCTTCGAACCGTTGTGGCCATTCTAGGTTGGGCTCAAGTATAGTAATAGAAGGTTTTACCGTTCGTGAGGCTATATGCTCCACGAGCTCCGGTTTGTACTCGTAAGGCGCGAGAATCTGCGCAACTGTAGCGGGCATCGTAGAAATGATGGTAGTTGACTCCAAGCTGACAGTGGAGAAAGGAACGGAAATCAGAGACTTAGATAGGTAGAGTCCTGTATCAGTAGATACTGATCGGTCTCTGGATGACTTCCACTTGGATATGGGAAGTGGCAGAGGAGAGCCCGTCAGATTCTCGAGGTCCTCTTGGCATTCTCAGCCGCGCCCCCATTCGGGTTTAGTGCCGCCTCGTATATCACATTGATACCCTCTGTGAGGATGCAAGGTATCGGTACGGAGTACATTATTACCCTTTATATCTGTGAAGTCTTGGGTCTGCAAGGGAGCAGAAGATCTTATAAAATACAGTGCAGAAAAAAATACATCTTTGGGTGAAATTTTATGATAATTCCCGAGACCATACCTTATACAGAGCCATGATAATTATATTCCGCACTATTGCCTTTCGCCCTATGGTCCACAGCCAAAGATCACTGGGGTGTTTAAATAGACCTTTCTCCACTCCTAGATATAGCGACTATTCACTGTCCTCTTTTTGCTGGAAACGAGACACGCTATAATGTCAGCCCAGAATTTTGCAGGTAGGCTTAGAGCCAATCCTCCCATTCGATTGGAAACTACCGAGATGTCACAGGTTTTGATTCGATGAAGCTGATAAATCTGAGTATTCTCTTTGCCGGAACATTAAGTTTTCTGCATTGTATGTCAGCTTCAACCAAGTATTTCCTCGATCGCTTCGCCACCACAGTCCGTATCGATGACGATGATCCTCTTTATCACCATCTCCTACGATAGATGATCGATCATCAACCCCCAAATCAAATATTCTGTTCCCTACGCGCCATCAGCAAGTCAAAGATCTCTTGGGCAGACGAAGAAGATGCCCTCAACTCAGTGAAAGACAGTAGTGCCCAAGAAACCAAATTCATCAACTATCGATCTATCGTGAATCAACCTCCCATCAGCCTTCAGCCATTCCAAGGTACACCTCTTTCACCATAATGGCAAGTCGATTTTATTCCGCCATCGCATCGCGTCCGAAAATTAGTACACACAACTGATGAAGGAGCGCGGCTACATTCAGCTTCAATGTCTTGGCACATCTGTTGGTTCCTTACACGGTCTTCTCCAGGAGGCGCAATCTTATAATTTGGACAAAGCGACGACAATGACCACCGTTTACCGATCTATCTGCAGTTCAGAAACTGCCTCGCGTTGGTCTAAATTCAGCACCCGGCCATCACGAAACATATCCACGGTAATCGTTGATAAAAAGAAGAAAGACGAGTTACTCCGAGATATCAATGAATACCTGTTTCCACACACGCGCCGGTGGTATTTTGACCATGTAATCCCCTACCGACGCGGATATCTGTTGTCGGGGGCACCTGGGATGGGAAAAACTAGTCTCACCTCTGCCCTTGCGGGTCTCTTTGGGCTGAATGTCTACGTCTTGAGCCTCCTCGACCCGAACTTAAACGACGCACAACTCATGAAACTGATGTCTGAGGTCCTCTCGCGTTGCATTGTACTGCTGGAAGATGTTGACGCCGCAGGGCTGGGTCGACGACAAATGAAGACTACAGGTGTTCGGTCAAGGTCAGGGAGTATTGTGGCTTTTTCAACGGATTCACCCGATAGATGGCTACCAGGTTCTATTCCTGTGACACAAGTCGCTTCAGTCTCACTATCGGGCCTACTCAATGCGATCGACGGGGTTTCTTCACAAGAAGGACGGATCCTAATTATGACCTCCAACTCCCCAGAGAGTCTCGATCCGGCGCTCATCCGACCGGGCAGAGTGGACATGCATTTTGACTCTCAGCTCCCCTCCCGCGAGCAGATGCATGCCTTGTTTGCCAATATTTACAGTGACGTGTCTGTTGATGCATCAGAAGAGGATAAGGAATCAGAATTGCGTCTTGATGCGATGGCGGAAAGGTTTTCCTCTTCGATCACAGAGAGATCAGTGAGCCTAGCGAGGCTACAAGGTTATTTGTTGCAGTACAAGAAATACCCAAGGAAAGCGAGTGAAAATGGGGCCGAATGGGCGAAAAATAATAGTGTATGGTGCATGCAATATGAACAAAAGGGTCATAATCCGATGCAGCATCCCTGGTTGGTGTTTCAGCTTAGCACGAGTAATGTACGCAGCAACTATTGAATCTTACATGCATGCAGCAACTTTTTGTGCTCAAGTTATTTGCGGTAAAGAATACTAAAATGCGGTGAGCTGACTACAATAAATCCCCTATGCATATGCTTTTACGAACGGATAGGTCCTTCAACCAATCCAGGATGTTATAACGAAAATTTTCGCCTTACGAACTTCGTTAATTCACTATCTCTCCGATTCAGTCGCGGGTTTACCCATGGACTGTAGTAGGTTCTCGAGGGAGCGGAGAGATCTGGCGATGTGTACGATTTTTCCAAGACTATGCGAGGTACCTACTACCGATGTCGTAAGATTATCGGGTACGGAAATTCATATGCAGATGCATCATGTTTCCGACAGAGTCCTCTACACCATCCAGCGTGCAAGAGTCGGATAAAACCTAAGACCAGTTCCTGGTTCATGACACGTTTGCGCAATTTTTATATGCGTTCGATTTGCAGCTGTATCCTTCACTTCGTAATCAAAGTAGAGATCTAACATATAAATGTAGAGGGCATTTCTCTATAACACCAGTGCCAGTCACTTCGCAAGTTTGACCTCCACGTTCAAAATGGCTGGGTTTCGAAGTCAACCAAATCCATCCTTCACTGCATTATTATCTTCACTTGGTCATATTCTTCGTCATTTGCTGTTTCAATATTAGACAATAACCCATTTCCTCAATTTTGTTAAAAGTCGGAGGTTTCCTACTTACGCGGAATAAGCGCTGCATGGACTTTGCCGCGATGTTCGTTCAAAGGTGCACCTGTAGACTGCGTTAGTGACACTTTAATCTCGTATAAATCACCAATTGCCATTACATACCACTCATCCGAAGCGTATAAGAGCCTTCGTCATCATGAACCATAGTGTGTTGAACAGCGTTAGGGTTCGTATCTTCCTTCTTGAACCAATAGACTGCTTTCGGTATCAAAGACCTGTCTTCTATATGGAATCGCCCCAGGAACCATTCACCACATTCCAAGCGCCCATCAATCCAGGTGAAAATGGCTGGGTCAGAGCCAACTGATGCTTGGGTCCGAGACTCATAATCTGCCTCAGGCTTTGTCACAGGTCGGCCCTTAACCTGAATAATGAAGGGGCCAATAGTAGTAGAGTCATCCATTGTGAAGATTGTTTGGAGAGAAAACGAAGAGTATTCTTGCTGGTGGGATGGAGAAACTGACGGCCGATATTTATGGTCATGGGTCAGCCAGCCACAGTATAGAAAAGACCGGAAAGATCGACAAACAGTATCGTGTTCATCGTCAGTAAAATAATAAAATCTGATGGGATCAGACCTTTTAGGGTATGTCACATTATGAACAATGCAAGCCGGCGTGAAGCAAAATTCAAAATTGTGGATATGTACAACTTCTTGAACAGAAAATATTCAAACGCCCAGTTCTACTAGGATGAGACTACTAAGAGAGGTACGGCCACCAATTTAAAACGGATGGCCAAGGATAGCTAGTATTTACATGTACCCAAATGAATCTCAGTGATGATGGCTTTCTCTTTTCGTAAAATTACCTATGTAAAGTAAATTAAATGCTATATAGTTAAACTAAATGTGCACTACAGCATTTAAGGCAGGGCGGAAATTCCTTAATGTGATAGATGACGAAAATCTTGACTCTAGTCATACCGTTTTGTAAGGCTTCAGAAGTTGCCAGGTCCCTTCACTTCTTCACTTCTTCGCTTCTATATAGTCTTGAAAATAAAATTCATTTCCCTTTCTCCAGTTGATCTCTCGAGTATAGGGTTTTGTCCGACGATATATCCACCGACAAATTAGGACGATAACAGAGGCTAGACTGCGACATCGCCCGTCCACGGTGGGCGGTGGGCTATTTGGATTTTCGAGTGCCCGTCCGTGACGCCCACGGCCCACGGGCATGCCCACCATGCCCACCATTGCATAAAGTCACCTAAAATGGACGTATAACTCGCTGACTTTGCATAATAAATAACTGTTATTTACACCTATTTTGCTAACTCCATGTAAATCGCGGTCTTAATCTATAATATCCATAAATTTTACTGAAATATCTGAGTATATAAGAAACTAATATATATATATGACTTAGAACAAATTTTTGATCGAAATATATCATATTATGTGGTATTTTTATTAACTTATTAAATCATACTATAATAGTTTAAAGATATATATTCAAGTTAGTGTTACATGCCTGCCATTTTCCATAAGTAAAATACTACTTTTAGATTCTGCTTTATCTCTCGCTCCGGTATATTTCTTATAGGTAGATCGAAAGAGAATTAGTATAATTCTTATTTTATAAGCTTATATCACTAAAAGACTTATGTTATTATTCTCGGAGTTTTATATCCTTCGAATATAACTCGAGATAGGCGTTTAGGCATATTCCTATAGGCGTGCCCACGGGTATGCCTATAGATAAAGACACTTATAGCTAATTAGCTTATAACGAAGAGTGGGTCTACACTTAATTTACGATCTATTAGATCTATATAACTAAAGCACCCCTTTTACTAATAACCCCCGTTTCACACGGTCGTAAGTTACCTATTGTAACGGGCTGATGCCAGCACCAAGACTCGGGCTCTGCCCGCGCTCTTTACAACCAGAGTTTCTGACCTCGGGCAGAAACTACAGTCGACTCCGCACTCACCACAACCAGTCTCTGACCGCGGTCAGAAACTAGGAGTATCTGCCGGTGCTCACCGCCTTAGGAGAACAAGACATCACCGCAGAACACCCATAGAGTTTAGATCTTTAAGCTTTAGTTAAACAGCATGCAGGCACCGTCCAATTGAATCAATTCGACCGTAGTCCTTCACAGTCGGTCTACCATAATGATAGCTAAAACGACGACGAAGGTAGAAAGGGCGTCGAACCGGAGGAAGGGAAGTCGTAAATCCCTATTAGCGAGATGAACGAAGTGAAGGTCGAGATGATAAAGTAAGACACAGATCTTAAAGGTGCAGGTAGACTGCGAAAGGTTAATGGGATAGGAATCCCCTCACGAGATAAAGATCTCTAGGAATATAAATTCCCGGGGATACGAACCCTAAAAGGTGAGATAAAGATCTCAGAGAGATAAGGAGTCTCGAGGATGCAGTCGAACTACGAGATAACCGAGAGGTCAAAGGATTATAGAGAACCCTTAGATGGGATGAGAATCCTAGGCAGAGCAGGCTGCCTTATCGTAAATGACAGTGGTTCGTCGAGGCGAAGGCGGGATAATGATCCCCTTACGAGATAAGAATCTCTGAGGCAGGCCTCGGGGATATAGAATCCCCCCTTCTAATGATGACGAAAGAGATGCTGATGATGAAAATCAGCTGCTAATTGATGGAATCAGCATAAAAAGAGAGATCTCTGGAGGCTAGAGAGTAAGAAAAGACTGCTGTAAAGAGCAGAGAGTTATTTTTAATGAAAACTCTGATTATAGGATTACTTTTATGGGAATTCCTAAAAGGGAAACTAGCATATGCTAGTTAAGTAAGCAGCTGCCCTCCCCCCACGTTAGTTCGAGGTGACAGCAGAGATAAAGAGCTGACCCCTTTGAACCCGAGTACAGACGATGATGATGACCAAACGTAGACCCGATGAAGCTATTCACACTGCCTAGATAGGCAAGGTGTAAATTTTAGCTTGATGGGACATGCTGAAGTCAGAGGTCCCAGTGCGACAGCACAGTGCGAAAGCACTAACCGAGGATATTGACAGATCGTGAGATCAGATCAATAACGAGTCCACGGGCTCATAACCTGTTAGAATCTACGAAGTAGATGAGATCATGAAAGCACAATATGTGTATTGTGGAAAGTGTTAAACTATTGATGAGGGAGGAATCACACAGGAGAGACTATAGGAGTCTACTCCTATGGAGAGAGAGAGACCATGTGACTACTGAGAGATATCAACACAACGAAAACAAGAAAGCATAGAACTCTGTTTTGCCCTGTCTTCTATAAGTTTGCCCCTGACTCACGTTGTTTCTCGGGGTGTGTAGCCTACTTCGTTTCCACTTTGATCGTACTAGCAAATCAGATCGCTCATATGATAGTCAGATGATTCATGCAGGTCGAATTTTTCAGGGTCATCTGCAATATTACTCTATGATAAAAAAGCGGCTAGAGGGGAGCACAAAAGCAGAGAAGGAAAGGTCTCAAGTGCCAGGCATTATCTGGTACATATGACAACAGGACTTGCTGGATTCTTAATATTCGTTCGCGATATCATATTTGCAAGTCCAATTAATAATAGTCACAGTCCTCCGCTCACCCTCATCCCCATTCGGGTTCCAGACAGTAGTTTAGGCCTTCTCGCTCTCGTGCATCGCGACCTGCTCTGAGTTGATGGCAACCTTCAGGTCCTCGACCCTGTCAACACCCGCCAGGCCCAGCGATTCGTTGATTCTCTGCATGCGCAGACGATCAGCCTCGGCAATGTTTGCCTCAGAGCCACCGAAGAACACATCTAGTTCCTCAAGGGTCTTATCCTTGGTCTCGGGTGCGAACTTCCAGATGAACAGACCGCCCAGGCCACTGAAGATGGCGAAGAAAATGTAGGTGCCATACTTCATCGAAGCCAACATATCCTTTGTCGTCAAACCGATGATGAAGTTGAACATCCAGTTGGTACTGGCAACAATGGCAACACCCTTAGACCGCTGGCTATTAGGGAAGATCTCCTGGGTGAGGACCCATGCGACGGGGCCTATAGATAGTTAGTTCGGAAGGCGCAAAGAATAGAAACTAAACATACCCCAAGAGTAGGCGAAATTAACCGCAAATAGCCAAATGAAGACAATAGCAACCCATCCCTGTCCTTTATTGAGTCCCTCGTTGAGGTCCCATTTCGGTTTGTAAATACCCTCGACCGTGGCCACAACAATATGACAGCAGAACATGCCAATGGCGCCAACGATGAGGAAGGTCTTTCGACCGAATTTATCAAGATAAAGCACGGCAGGGAGGGTAAAGATGATCTGCAAGATTCCGGTCACACCAGTAGCCAAAAGAGTCTGCTTAGTGGAGCTGAATCCGAAACTGGCAAAGATCTGGGGCGCGTAGTATAGGACTGCATTGATACCGGTAAATTGTTGACAAATCATAGTACCGCAGCCAAGGAAAAGACGCTTAAGCATGTTAGGAACAAAGAGCGCCTTCCATGGAGCCAGAGCGCCACCAGCACCGACAGCCTCGCGTTCGGTTTCTTCGTCAAACATGACAGCGGCCTTGATCTCAAGGAATTCGGCGCGGACGTGAGAGTCGGTGACAGGGAGACGGCGAAGTCGAGAGAGGGAGGCGAGAGCCTCTTCCTCGCGGTGCTTCATCATCAACCAGCGAGGGGAGAAGGGGAAATAGAACATTCCGAAGAAAAGGATCCAAGCAGGAATAATTTGTATGGCAAGGGGTAGGCGCCAGGCGATAGTCTTCTGGCCGAGGCAGGTATGTCCGTTGCTAAGGCTAGCGTCAAAGGCACCGCTAGCGAGGTAGGGGTCAGAGATACCCTCGGGATTGCAAGTCGTACCGCCGACAAATTGCATGCCGTAGTCGAGCCAGAAAGAGACGGCGGTACCGATGGTAATAGACAGCTGTTGAAGAGAGACCAGCGATCCACGTAGTTCTGGAGGAGCAATTTCGGCCTGGTAAAGCGGAATGACCATACTAAACATACCAATTCCCACACCGCCGATAATCCGGCCAGCGAAGAAGTAGGCAGGTGTTTGAGCACCTGCTTGCAGGCCGGTACCCAGGGTAAAGATAAAGACAGCAGTCATCATCGCATATTTTCGAGAAATGCGATCGGCGAGGATTCCATTGAGTAGAGCACCGGCCCAGGCACCCAGCTCCAGAGCAGACACCAGCCAGCCCTGAATGGTGGATCCTCCAAAGGTCGGGAAATGGTTCTGGAAGTTTTCCATAACAAGGATGGGGCCCATGACTCCCTGGTCGTAACCATACATGATACATCCCAGAGACGCAAAGCAGCATGTCAGGGAGACGAATGGGTTTTTGAGGAGACCAATGATACCATGAGCCTTCTCTGCGTTGGCACGACCAACCACAGACTGGCTGACTGCCATCTTGGGGATGTAGGAGGTAGAAGTCGGAGAAGGGAGAAGAGAATGAATGGAAAGTCTGGAGTAATTGCAACAAGGCTAGATCAATCACATTATATAGTTGCACCCGCAGGGTTTTAGTTCGCGTATTTTCAAACCGTTGGAGTGCTGGGATGGGGTCTGTAGACCGAAAAAGATTCAGCCCCGGCGCCCATAGCACCAGATTTACGGCTAATGATACCGCAAATTGAACTCCAGCTTCCGGTCTTCCATGTTTCCAGGAGCTAATTTGACGCTAGATGCGTGATTGGCTCGACCCGGGGATAAATCATAAGGAAATGCTACATTGCGGATACGGGGTACATGGAACGGACATATCAAACATTCGCAGGCTAGTGGCCGCCACTAAGCTTGAATTAAAAAGAAGCACCAGGGTGCCTATGGGCCGGACGTATCTGGTAAGCCCGTTTTGTCAGCTGAAAAGCCCCATTAATTGGCTGAGTGAGATCTACCCTACATGTCTGTCAGCTCGAACCCCCTTTTTTCCCAATCTTACCCCGATACCTGCTGTCCGGGGTGCGTGAGACTAGTGCATAGAAGCGACAAAATCTGGTGTTTTACGTCCTAGGTTCTAGATTACACTACTTTGCCTGTGCGATTTTTAGGCGATGCCATTTCAAGCCTCTGAATACGGAGGAGGAAAGCTTACTTCGGTACCAAGCATTTTCTCCTCTATGCTAGACCCGCAGAAGTAGCTCCGGGTTTGACTAGTTCTACACGGGTGGCCATCCAGAAAATAGGGCCGAAAAGACAGCTTGGTTGCATTCTTGTAATTGGAAGGGGAAAAACGCAATAACAAAATGTTGACAGGGTCAGAACCGATGTTGAGAACAGACTTACCTGGCGTATGAAAGGATTATTTCACTTTGCAGGGGGTGAAAATGATTAATATCAAGTGGAACTTCCTAGATCCTGCGTATCCCAGATATAGGATAGTTCGCTTTTGACCCGTGCGCCACCATTCCAGAATGATTCGAACACATGAAGCCCTTGAAATCAGGATTCGTTCATTCACCGAACAGTCATTTCTAGGACTCAAGTCCGCAATAAACCCGCAGGCTGCTTCGGCTTTCCCGGTAGGAAGCAGCAAGCTGCGGCATCATTGGATCTTACGATAGTATCGCATCGTATCGTATCGTATCTAATATTTCCTATTTCTTCGACCCATATACACTCCAAGCTAGACTGCGACATTGCCTATGGACAGCCTGGTGGGCAATGTCTATCATAGGCATGTCTATGGGCGGGCATCACAGGCGCCTCAGGCAATTTGGGTATATAGAATTTCATAATCTCGTGAGTCGTAACTTACATTATTTCTGAATCTTGTATCTTGGCTCAATATTTTCAAGTAATTTGATTACATATCGATAGGAATACCTGCACTAGCATATATTAGGTTTTGTAGGTATATGGCCAGACTTTATACTAAGATATGATAAAATCCTGAACTATCTTCGTATCTAGCTGTCTATACCGGCAGTATTAGATATAGTATGCTAAATCAGGAAAAAGAACCTTTGACTCTAGCGCCTATTATAGGAATGCAGAAACATCGTGAGTAATACTTAGGAGAAGTAGAAATTTATTCTTTTATGCAATCCGTTTTCTAGAAGTACCTAACTATATAAGACATTTAGTCTCCTTTGTTATGATTTCAGAGGACAAATGAGCTATGATTTGGAGTAGGAGTAATAACAATAAGCAATCCCACAAAGAGCTGTGGCAACTGCGAGTTTGGACCCAATAATTCTAGACCCTTCACGTTGTTGATCCTGGATTGTTTCTCCCCGTCTGAACTTAGCCTTGATTTGTGGGATCTTGGATTTCTTCGCCGCATCGAATGGTGGATAACGGAATGCTAGCAGACGGTCGAACAATTTCGGCGAACTGACGATTGTCCGGAGATGCGAAAATGTCTTGAATCCATACGAACCATGATAGTAGCCATGTCCGCTACCACCAACACCGCCAAAAGGAGCACCCGGGAATCCTGCGTGGAGGATGACATCGTTCACTGTGACTCCACCCGAATTTGTGTCATCAAGTACTATTTTATCTCGTTAGTGAATTTATCGAGATATAGGGACTGATGGGCACACGCAACTATTCTGGATTTCAGAGCTGTTGGAGCTGAAAATGTACAGGGCCAGGGGGTGTTCCCTTCTATTCCACAGATTAACACGGTATTACCATATCAAAAAGCATCCAAAACTCACTCATTGATTGCCTCGCAGGCCTGGCGTACATCTGCCTTGATCACAGGACAGATGGGACCGAAGATCTCTTCCGCTAGTAGCGGATCTAGTGGCGCAAGTCAGCTTGACTCCCAACACAAGACAGGGTTAAAAGCGGATGTACCGTTCATATCAAGTTCTGCTACAACGGTTGGCTCCATCTGATGCGAGTCATCACGCCCACCTCCGCCGCAGACAATCGTCCCTTTCGTCTGGTGCAAAAGGTTAAACAGACGGTCCCAATGTTGCTGATTGACAATGGCCGTGGTGATTGTTTGTTCCCCATGCAAAAATTGATTATTCCAGTATTGTAATCGGTCTACAAACTTGTCATGCACCGCTGGATCCACGAAGACATGGTTGACTGTCAGACAGATCTGTCCGGCGTTGAGAAATTTGGAAAACGCAACACATTTGGCAGCGCGCTCTACATCTGCTGATTGACCGATGATGGCGGGAGATTGACCACCTAGCTCCATAGTCACAGGGGTCAGATGACTTGCTGCTGCTGCACTGATATGTCGGCCCACATTCGCGGAGCCAGTAAAGAAGATATGATTGAAGGGGAGTTCAAGGAGCTTTGTCGTCTCAGGAACGCCACCACAGACCAATCTGATCGCTGTAGAATCAAGATATTGGGTGACCAAATCTCGGAGGAGGTTTTGACATGCTACTGTCATCTCAGATGGCTTGATGATGGCGCAGCAGCCCGCAGCGATGGCTGCGATGAGAGGTTGCAGAACCAGCAGTACTGGGAAATTCCAGGCACCGATGATGAGTACCACGCCGAGTGGCTCTTTTCGGATTCTTGCTAGACCAAGTCGTCTTGCAATGAAACTGTCGCCGATCTTCTCATCTGCTGCCCAGGCATCTATATTATCCAGGTGATATAATATATCTTTGCGGATGCCGGCAAGATCCGTGAGATAGCTTTCGACTTCCGACCGATTGAGGTCATCCTTGATGGCATTAAGGATAGCCTGTTCGTTGTCCTCTATCAACCACCAGAGCTGTTTGAGCTGCCATTTGCGCCAAGCGAGGTCTTTAGTTCGACCCGTTTGGAATGTGCTCACAAGAGTGGAATGGAAGGTTTCGATTTCTTCAGCACTCTCATACCTGTTATCTTTGAGACCCATCTTGATGAACTTGTTCACCCTGCTCTTGTATGGGAGTTTCTTACCCAAGGTTAAAGGAAATCCAACTGTTTTCTTTACCTCGGTATCATCCGGTATGAAACTTCGTATCATCTGGTATGAAAAAAGCTGGTATGAAAGATTGTTGTATTTTAGGTAATTTTCAGCGTGGGTCGGGCACAGTCCCCACGCGGGAGGTCTTGGCAATGAGCTTGAAATATGGAATTAATTTGACGATGCAACCTCCCAAGATGCCGTCAGACTCTGCCAATCTTCTACGCCCACTCTGAGGCCGACGCGGGGTGTCAAAGCGCAGGTCCGCAACGTGCGGGGAGACAAGACTATGAAGCGTATGAAAACATACGTCCAGTCAACGCCACTGGGGTATTTTACGTCCAGGATTCACCAAAGAAGGAGAATTGTGCCCACCATAAGCCACTTTATGCGCCTAATCCACCTAGGGAGTCCCGGTGAGACACGCTTTGCCAAGAGTGCCAATCAAAAGCTTAGGTGAATATTGTGTCTTGGCTATTATCCAAATGGGGATAACAAGGTAGCATTGAGAGCTCTACTCCGTAGAGTTGGTTTCCTTTGCTGACTGCAGGCGGATTTCCAAATTCCCGTCCCCTATTTTTTTTGTGTGCATCTATTGGCTCCAGCCCCGACGGATATAGTACTCGGAGATAGCTTCATTTGCCGCTACAAATCATAGCAGCCGTTCCAGATTGCATCACATTAGCCTATCGATAGCGTGAGTTTTCATGCATCGGCATCCGAGTCTGCATTGACGCATCTCCGGGGGAATGCCAAAGGATCCGGGGGAATGCCAAAGGATCCGGGGAAATGCCAAAGGATCCAGGGAAATGCCAAAGGATCCGTGGGACCGTTCTGTGCCGTTGGTATATTCATAAAGTAAGCACTAATTCGCTTGTCCAGTTAAGATGATTGACAACGTTTCATACTACATTCGTGGCTCTTCCATGCTGAACCATTTGTGAACTCTCATATCATGTGTTTTGGAACTCACATATCACGCATGTCAACCATTGGATTTCAACGCGTCCAAGTCTAGAAGACATGTCGTCCCTAGATGGCACTCCGACAGCCTCACTGCCGTTCGTCTCGGTGAGCGGTGTCCCTAACTTTCGCGACATCGGAGGCTATGCGTGTTATCCTTCAAGTTTAGCATCTCCGACCCGGGCCGTCGATGAAACTCAAGTCGGAGGGTTGCGCATTCGGCCAGGATTCCTTTTCCGTGCCGCACAGCCCTCTCAGATCACCCCAACAGGGATCGAAGAACTGACTAAGACACTACGTGTTCAAACAATCTTCGACTTTCGCTCAACGGGGGAAATCCAGCTCGTGACTACCCGCTATCCTGACTCCTTCCTCGACATCCCAGGGACGACGCGCCACGCAGTACCGGTATTCCAAGATGGCGACTACTCCCCCGTTTCGCTGGCAAAGCGCTACGGAGTAGCCTCTGGTGGCGTGACGCGGGACCAGGTTTCCGAACGGGGTTTTGTGAAAGCTTACGAGGACATTATGCGCAACGCAGCGCGTACCGGTAGTTTCCGCGCTGTCATGCTGCAAATCCTGCAGGATCAGAGCGGTCCGATCCTATTTCACTGTACAGTGGGAAAGGATCGCACTGGAGTCTTTGCCGCACTGGTCCTGAAGCTGTGTGGAGTCGCGGACGAAGATGTCGTGGCTGATTACGCGCTGACGACACACGGGCTCGGTACGTGGCGGGATCATTTGATCCAGCGGCTCTTACAGAGAGACGACGCTCTGAGTCGAGAGCAGGCGGAAAATATCATAGCAAGCCACCCGGACGACATGCGCGCGTTCTTGACTGGGATTGTAGCAGCCAAGTTTGGAGGAGCGCGGAGATACTTTGTTGACCTCTGCGGGCTGAGGGAGGATGAACTCGATCGGATTATTACCACACTTGTTATCAAAAAGTAACCGAAGGAGATATGAGAGAATAATTCCAAAGCAAAGTTTTGTATGAACAGATTCCAACCAGTTAATTTCTGTCTTACAGTATTCAGGACCTTGCCGAGAAAATTTCATGATATCTGATGCACTTGTTGAAGGACAGACGCACAAAAATATAGAAGAACACAGTAATAAGAGTCGCGCTCCTTCGTCACACATCTACCAACAGTCGAGCCAACAGCTTTCGGATTGCAAGGTTCTCTCCAAGTCCCTGCTTCTCTAAATTTTCTATCATTTCTAAGGCTTCGGCCTTGAGGCTGCCAACAAAGCCCCGGGTATACTCAAAGGTATTCGTAGTCTCCATGTAGGCAACCGCATATCGCTTGATATCATCATCCCGAGGTTTCTGTTTCAGGATATTAATCAATCGCCGATTGCTGGGGTTTGAGCGAATGCTGTGGATTATAGGGAAGGAGAATTTCCCCTCGGTCAGATCTTCACATAAACCCTTCTTCTGCAAGTAGCTTGGTGACTTCAGATTCAGATAGTCATCGCAAACCTGGAAGATAATGCCAAATAGTCGGACTAGCGGGACTAAGTCGACTTGGACGGGACTACCGATCTGCAGCAGTTCGATGGCGAGGCAGAAAAGCGCCCCTGTTTTGTTGCCGACCATAGCCAGGTAATCCTCTTCTGTGGGACAAATGAGCGAATCGCGCCAGAACATGTCCATGCCTTGACCACGGTGCAAGTGGATCAAGGCGTCGACGTAGATCTCAATTGCGCGTGGGCTTTCCAGTTTCTGAATCTCCCGAAGTGCAAGGAAGTAGACATAATTGCCAGAATTGAAGGTTTGCGCCATGCCGAAGATACTGTGTGCTACCGGCTGGCCTCGTCGAAGAAGCGAACTGTCTTCGATATCATCGACGAGGAGCGATGCAGTGTGCAGCATGGAAATCGCCTTTTCGACCACTTCTAGATGTTCCGGGGTCACCTGGAGCCAGGAATTGAAGGCTTGAATGAATTGCGATCGTATGCTTTTTCCCGGTAAGCTTTCAAGATAGTCGAATGGCCCCAACAGGATTTGTTCCTCGTCTTCTGTCCATTCGCGCCGGCAGGAATGGCTTGAGGGACCATTAAAGCCAACCGCTGTGAGCTCCGTGCTCTCCGTTTGAACATTTCCGTTTTCATGGGGACCATGAAGCTCTACTGTGTGGGTGGGAAGCACGTCGTTCATCTTGGTTTCGGTATTCTCTGTTTCGGTGCAGAATGCTCCATTTGTGCTTTTGCTTTCAATTTCAGTGAGCTCGGCAATATGTCCATTAGTCTCGATGGGCTCAGCAGGATTTCCATTCAACTCTGCATGATCTTTGAAAACCTCGGCGTGATGCCCATTCGGCACTACCGAATGATCGATAGGCTCGGCAGGATGTCCATTCAACTCTGCATGATCTTCAAACACCTCGGCGTGATGCCCATTTGTCACTTCAGGATGTTCGATAGGCTCGGAAGGATGTCCGTTCAACTCTGCAGGATCTTCGATAACATGGGCGTGATGCCCATTCGGCACTACAGGACGCTCAATAGACTCGGCATGATGTTCATCTGCCGAACTCATGGAGACACCCTCCGGGTGGTGCTGTGCTTCCGGTGGCAAATCTGCCGCTTTCTTCAAAGCAGCTAGCGTGTAGGCCTGTGACAACATTTCCGATTCATATGTGACTTTCTCCACCCAGAGACGCTCTGAGCCAAGAGCAGCGTTTGAACGGAGGAATGAGCAGCCATCGTGGATTGCTTTTCGAATCAGGTGACGAGGTATCTCGGAGAACTCAAATTGCACCGCATATGTAAGGACGAGTACCGCATATGCCGTTTCTTCCTTAGAATCTCTAGAGCCCCACGAGCTGGTTTGATTCTGCTGATGCAGGACTGAGGCAGTCATATCACGCAGCAGGTTGACGAGATCTTGCTCAAAAAGCTCTTTCAGGGACAGTAATTGAGAACTCTGGAATAGCAGGTGCAGGCGGGCAATGGCCTCGGTCATGAGCATCCAGGAGTAGAAGGGGGACAGGTTCTATTTTCAATTAGCCAAGGACCAATTACCATGGAGGATGATTTACCTACCCATTTATCACGGACTTTCAAGTCGGTTTCCCGGAAGTGCGTGTGCAGGAACCGGGTCGCCTTTTCGATCTGAGACGCATACTGTGAGACATCATCCGTGTAGAGCAATGCCAGTAAGACATTGCAGTTGGCCGAGAAGCTGGGGTCGCGCTCATAGGGGTAGGTTTTGAAATGATGTTCTGCTTCAAAGGCCTTCAGCATCGGTTCCAGCGATACATGCTGTTGTAGCAGTTGTAGCACGAGAATGACTTTGGCGGTATCATCTGCATCGGCGCAAACATGTGGTGTAAAGCCCACCGTTCCTTCCTCCATGGCAAGAGTATCGTGCAGGTACGTCTGGGCTTTCTGGATAGATGGCAGTATCTTTAGATCGAGATCAAATCCGTTCTTGATCAATGTTGAGAGCGTCCAGGTAATTTCGAAAGTAGTAGAAGGAAATGCGCTGGGTACACCTCCAGAGCGGTTTCCGGACGCATATTGGATGACGTGGTGAAGGTATTCCTCGCACTCGTCATCCCATTCGGAGGCATGCATGAGCACAGCTGACGTGGAAGATGGTGATGCCATAAAAGAGCCGTTGACCTTATGATGACGAACCCGGTCAAATTCAATCGACCCGATGAATGCCTCCAATGAATGCAAGGCCGGGGTTTGGACAGGCATGTACAGCAGCTCGGGCTTGAACCGAGCTAGTTTCTGGTCGCGGACCGCAAAGAGACGATCGCGACCCGAAAAGGAAAGCACAATGCCTTCAGTCTCCAGATAGCCCAGCAGCGCCGGGACGAGGATCTCGAACCCAACATGTACCGTAGCATTGACATCCCATTCGTCGAGCATGGCATGCAAGGCTCTTGTAGCTCGATCAATCCGCTCTGCGAGATCTTCCTGGGAGATTGTACTGATTTGAAGTGGCGAAGTGAAATGCCGCTTCAGCGATAACAAGGACGCGGCAGTGTTCAGGATCCCATCGATCTGGGAAGCGTACATGACCCAGCTTCCATCCTCAAGTTGGTTTGACAGGATATACTCAAAGCACTCGGGAAACAACCACACCGTGTAGCCGTCGACGGGCTTCTGGACCATGGAAACCCATGCGGTATCATAGACCGCGGGGCTCATGAAGCCTAATCCATGCGAGTCGTCGATTCGCTCGGTCAATTGATTGACCAGCACTTCGGCTGAACGAGGCAAGGAGTTGAGTTCCATTGTGAAGCGGATTGCTCTCCCCAAGATAGAATTTTCCTTCGTTCCTAGGTATTTATCTGTCTGTATCTTCAAGGCTGACGGTAAGCTTTCGCTCACTGCTTAGGGCTCACTTACACTTTACTGGAAATGGCCCCCATATCTGGCAAACACCAACCCCACGTTGGATTCCCCGGTTGAGAATCGACATTTTCTCCAAATCATCCATCACCGACGGTCAACAGTCACTGTGGCGCTCTACGCCCCGCCTTATCTGTGCTTACTCTGTGGTGTTGCACTGTAGCCTTCGGGGTTGCAACCCGTCAGTCTGACGGCCCCAGTCGAGGACTGATAGGGCCTGCTGTGGGTCCGCCATAAGCCGTGAAGGATCAACGCTCGTTTCAGCAACATGCAGCATGTGTCGTATGTATCCCGGCATGCACAAAGTCCTGGGCGTTACTTACGCGCCATGTCAATATCCCGGAGTCTGCATGATCTGAGCATGCTAAGTGGCTAGGATCTCACGCCACTTCCAACCTTACCACCAACTATGGCTCTGTTAGACTTGTTTTCCATTCGCCATCCCAAATTTAGGAACATTTGGGATACAACGGATTCCGATAAAAGACCGAATCTCACAGCTCCATCCGGTTCTAGGTGCTGATGGTGTCATCGGCATTATTTCGCGATTGGAGGAGAGCGCACGACTACATGAGTCCTGGAGGTCTTACGAGCTGCGTCAGCTCTTGTCAGACCTTTGTGGGGTAGCGTATTGTCACGAAAAGGGATTCTTCATTCAATACCCCTGCAACAATCATCCGGTACCATCTTTGCTCTGCTACCGCTCGTCATAAACCAAGTCCCGGATACCACTAGGTGGCCCTGCGGGACATGCTGCAATCTTTACGGGGCGAATATCAACTACCCTTGCGAACGAGCTCAGAACCAGATTCTACATTGGTCTGCTAAAATTCGACAGTGACTGAAGGTAAATTCCATTCGAGATGGCACTATCATTGATATCTACTCTGTCCCTTGGCCAGGTCGTTCTCGTGTCGCTGGGCGTGGTATGTAGGACCGAGAGTGGTTTCTTGTCACAAAATCCCAGGTGTTAACTTCCAATTTAGGCCCTCAGTTACATATTTGGAATTGCGATCTACCGAGTCTATTTCCATCCACTCTCCAAATATCCTGGTCCGAAACTCGCAGCTGCAACCCGCTTATGGTGGACATGGCACCAGTTGCGAGGTAAATTCCCGTTGACTGTGCATGAGCTTCATCTGAAATATGGAACGATTGTCCGCATTGCGCCCACCGAGCTTTCCTTCACGGATGCCGATGCCTGGAAGGAAATCTACGGATTCCGCAATGGCCTGCCCGAGAATCGGAAAGATCCCTGCGAGAATACAGATGCTGACAAAAGGCATCCTACAATCATCAATGCAAATCGCCAGGACCACGGTGATTTGCGCAGGTTGCTGTCTAATGCTTTCTCGGACAAGGTGCTGAAGGGCCAGGAACCCGTGCTGTTGCACTACATCGATCTCCTCATCAGTCGATTGCACGAGGTGGTGGAGAAAAACGAGCCGGTTGATATCGTGAAATGGTTCAATGTAAGTTGGGCGAAGAAGTATGTGAAAACTTGAGCTGACCTGAGAAGTATGTGACGTTTGACATTATCGGCCATCTGGCGTTCTATGAACCGTTCGATTGTCTCAAAAACACCGAGTACCACCCCTGGATGTCGATGATCTTCAACGCCATCATGTACGTGCACTACATCCGGACCTTGCAGCGCTTCATCGACGTTCGCCCTATTATCCTAGCCATCATGCCAAAGCGCATCGTCGAGCGGCGTAAGTGGCATATCGGTCTCGTCGAGGAAAAAGTCAAGCGCCGGAAACAGCAGCATCCCGATTACATCGACTTCATGAGTCACCTGCTCCAGGCCGAGGAGAAGGGTAAATTGACAACCCCCGACCTCGTGGCCAATGCCAATCTTATGGTAATTGCGGGAAGCGAGACTACTGCGACGATTCTTTCTGGCACGGTCTACTACCTGTGTACCCACCCAGCTGTAATGCAAAAGCTGCTTGACGAGGTCCGCACCTCGTTTGAAAGCAGCGAGGAGATCAATATTGCCCGCATTAGCAAGCTCAAATACATCAATGCTGTCATTGATGAGTCCTTCCGTCTCTATCCCCCAGCAGCAGGCAGCCATCCTCGCATAACCCCGCCAGAAGGGGCGAATATCTTGGGCCAGTGGCTACCTGGTAATGTATGTTACCACCGAATCCACTCCTATGACCGATTTTATCTAACAACCCTGCAACAGGTATCGATGGGAATGGCCCAGTACGCCGTCTTTCGCTCGCCCGCCAACTTCAAGGACCCAGAGCTGTACCTCCCTGAGCGGTGGCTGGATACAGACGGGCCGTATGCTGGTGATTCTCGTGCAGCACTTCAGCCGTTTTCCTTTGGGCCCCGGAACTGCATTGGTAGAAAGTATGAAGCCTTTCATATCCCCAACTTGCCAGAAACTATACTAACGCCATGCCTCCTCCACTAGTCTGGCCAACATCGAGCTGAGATTGATCTTGGCGAAGATCTTCTGGCATTTTGATTTGGAACTGAGTCCTGAGTGTCTTAATTGGCCGAAGGATCAATACATTTACACGTCATGGGAGAAAATTCCGCTGAAAGTCCGGATTACCGCACGAGTGTGACCGGTCGAAAGGACGCCACAATCTCTCTCGGGCGACAGGACAAAGGGCTTTTTGCTAAACTTAGTGGGTTAGATGATTACTCTTCCAGTCATTCCATGAGCGTATTTAGTATAAACCTTCCTGAGAATGAATGGACATAGCGCATCCTTGATGTGATGTCTCGAAGAGTTCTATTGGGCCAATTGATCGTAATTAGACGCTAGTAATCATATACTAAAATTGAAGCTGGCTAAGGACTTTCACCCGACGTTCCGTTTCATCATTAGCAATAAGATTTCTGCCTATCGGAATGAGAAATTAATCACAGAGTACGACCACAGAGTATTGATACGCGCAAGGTAAGTATGATCCTGCGGGTGTAATACGCAAAATACGAGGGATCGAAACGACACAAAAACTGAACTCCCCGCAGTGGAGATGTCTTTTGTGCTGACTGCAGGACTAGTCTGTGCTTTCTTGGAGAATAGAAGAAAACGAAAAAAAAGGACAGACAGGAGAAGAAATAATTTGATATCCTCTCAGTTCCCAATGGCTGCCATGTCCACCCTGAACGTAGTCGTCGTCAGCTTCTTGCTGCCAGCGGGCATCTTCTGGCAATTGAAGATCTCCACGTCGATCATCGTGATTGTAACATTGTCTGCGTTGCTCTCTTTGGTTTCCCTGGTGTACTGGAAGCTCTATCTGTGGCCCTTCTGGTTCAGTCCTCTGCGCAAATTGCCCGAACCGCCGGTAAGTCCGTATTGTATGAGATCGCTATACTTAGGAATCAGAACGCTGACAAGTATGATATAGGGTGGTCACCGTTTTCGCGGCCATGTGCAACTGGTTCCGAACGAGCGATCGGGCATGCCTCTGCAAGAATGGATTAACAATGTATCCAACACTGGGCTGATCCGATATCGCATGCGCTTCAACAAGGAGGTAGTATTTGTCACCAGTCCCAAGGGTCTCTCCGAGGTCCTAGTTCAGAAGAATTACGAGTTCGCCAAGCCGTATAAGTTGCGACTAGGGCTGGGTCGGATTCTGGGGATTGGATTGATCATTGCCGAAGGCAATGAACATAAGGTATGCACTCGTTCTTTGCGAGAAGAAGCAATAGATGAACTATAGAAGTCTAACAATGTCAATAGACGCAACGCAAAAACTTGATGCCTGCCTTTTCACACAGACACATCAAAAACCTATATCCCATTTTCTGGGAAAAATCCGTCGCGCTGGCCAGAGTACTTGATGAAGCCGTCGTGCAGACTGCGGATCATTCGAGTAAACTATCGAGTAAGGTCTTCGATGTGGCGGACTGGCTGGCACGGGCAACCTTGGATATCCTGGGCGCGGCCGGATTCGGGGAGGAATTTGACACACTCCATAATCCAGACAATGAGATTTGCCGTGCCTACCGGGGCGTGTTTGAGCAAAGACCCCCTCAAGGCATTCTGGCCATGGGCATATTCCTGCTGCGTGAGATGGTCATAGCCGCTCTGGGTCTGCCGCGCCGCGACAGTATCACCAAGGCCACCAACGTATTGACAGGCGTGGCACGCCGGCTGATCTCCAGCAAGAAGGCCAGCGCCGAAAATAGCGACAGTGACGGACGAGATATAATCTCTGTCGCACTGGCGTCGGGCAATTTCACAGACTCAATGCTGGAGAACCATCTGTTGACTTTTCTGGCGGCTGGACATGAAACTACGGCGACATCAATGACCTGGGCTCTCTATGCCTTATGTTTATACCCGGAGATCCAAGAAAAACTACGCACGGAGGTTCGCGACCGACTGCCGCCCGTTTTGGACGATAGTTCACAGACGCTGATGACGGCCGAACTCCTGGATAGTCTGCCATACTTGCATGCCTTCTGCAATGAAGTCTTCCGTCTGTACCCGCCTGCCGGTCTCACTCGACGGGTAGCGGTGAATGATAACTCCATCCTCGGCCAGTTTATTCCCGCAGGCACGGAGATCGTAATCTCACCGCGCGCCCTGAATGTGTCGCGAGAATTATGGGGTGACGATGCGCACATCTTCAATCCCGATCGATGGCTCGGGCCAAACATGGCCAACACTGGGGGTGGCCGGACGAACTTTTCCTTCATGACTTTTCTTCATGGTGCGTATTCGTTATTGAGTATTGTGAGTCTCGCTTATCTGACCCAATCTTTAGGTCCACGGTCTTGTATAGGGCAGGGCTTTGCCCGTGGGGAGTTCGCCAGTCTTGTCGCGGCGCTGGTGGGCACGTTTGAGATGACGCTGGCGCAGGAATCGGAGATAACCATTGAGACCGGGTTGACTTCACGGCCCAAGGGCGGATTGCGGGTACGGTTTTGTCGCGTATGATAGAGAAACTCGAGGATAGATTTCTGAAAAGTAAGGATTTCCTGGGGGTGGTGGAGATGAAGACAAAGTAAGCTGAAATGTTTGGGGAAAGAGGTCCACTAGCTGGAGGAAGGCCTGCCCAAGCGCAGACTTCCGCAACGAGATCAGGCAAGCTCGGATATTGAAAACAGTAGATGAGTCCACGCTGGGTTCGTTCTATTTATGCGACAGTAACAGGCTATATAGACTACCGAACAATCATAGAAAGCAGTTCACTCTACCTCTTCCATCTCTTCCATAGGTTGATGCGGCGAAAGAGTCGACATGACATCCTTTCCAAAATCCTGCAATTTCACCCTAATCCAATCTGGGAGCGCCCTTGTCGGTGGTGAGATGTAAGCTGTGGCAGGCGTCATCTTATTCTGCGCCCGCCCGCTCCAGAGAATCTCAGCGACGACTGAGGCAACATCACTGGGCTGCAAGAGCGGGACAGAGTCGGGCATTTGGATGCCGCGGAACATTTTAGTCTTTACGGCCGAGGGCGACAGACACGACATGCGCACCGCAGGTGCCTGATAGATATGACGGAGTTCTGTTTGGAGGCCCTCGTAGATAGTCAGCGCGGCTGCCTTGGTGGCGGCGTAGTCCACCACGCCAGCTGTAGCCAAATGGGCTGTCTGCGATGCGAGTATTAGGAAGTGACCGTGATTCTGCTCGACCATGGAAGGAAGGAATGTTTGCACGGTCCATATCAGACCGAGGTTGTTCACGGAGAATGTCCTAGGGAGGCTTCAGTTAATCGCTTCCAGGAAGCCCACATCAAGAGTTTCTTACAATTCAATGTCTTTTTGGGTCGCCTGGAGCAAGGGTTTACCGCGACAGATGCCCGCATTAGCCACCACACAGGAGGGTGCGCCAATCTTCCTGGATTACCATGAGTTTTTCCCGAAGCATAGAATGGGGGAAGAACACCACGCACTGACGAATAGTATTGGCGATTGATTCCAGCTCGGTCCGATTTGTCACGTCGCATCGATAAAAGTGCACGCATTTTGCTAGACCAAAGATCAGCCACGGCACCAAGATCATCAATTCAGAAAGTGCTTACGAGCATCATAGGTCAAAGGACGGATGTCGAGCACGATGATGGTAGTCCCACGCTCGGCCAGCTTTTGCACTGTTGCCGCACCAATGCCATCTGAGCCCCCCGTCACGAGCACGATTTCCTTCTTCCAATCAAATGTAGCCGAAACGCCGTTATTCAGCGCTCGACGACTAAGATGTCCGTTGATCTGGTAAGCCACCCACAGTAAACTCAAGGGGGGAGGATCTTCCAGGCGGGGGCCGACAGCAGGGAGGCATAATTAAAGAAAAGCGCCTGAAGATCAGGAGCCATGGCGAATTAGAAGAAAAGACTTCAATGCATATGCAGTGAGACCAGAAGGCCTCGCAGACATATTTTATACTGCAGAACCATGTAGCCCCGCGCGAGCTACTGGGGGATGTTGTTAGCGCAGTATCAGCCTGTCACAAATGTATTGAACAATGTAACTCTGTAAGCACGGGACTAGCGCGCCTTTGGCGCTCCGCTTCGTGTCTAGATTGGGTCAATTGCCTAGTCATGAATTCTGGCCCTTGTCCATCGCACATTGGCAAGTCAGATTGGTTGCGCGCTAGAAACTTAGTCACGTAAATCCACTCCAAGGTTGTATTCGTTCGAACCGCGTATTGTGAGGTGTTTTTCTTCATAAGACATTAGGAAAATTGTAACTCGTGAATTTTGAAAAGTGATATAATTCAAGTGAAGGGCCTCGCTCTCAAATGTTGGAAGGACTAGATGTGACAGAAATCGGTCTGTATGAAATGTATGGTATGAACTCAGTATATCAAACTCTCTGTATTTCTGTATACGCGCTCCTTACAATTTATATGGAGCATGATTATCTATTATGAATCCTCTATTGTTTTGATTACTTTCGACTTTCAATAACCTCAATCTACCGACCAAATCAAGGCTCATGGTTCGCATTTTGCGCCTGTCATCTGATTGTCATCTCAATCTACTCCCATTGTTTAGAGTATGTTGTGGTCGGCTCGAATTTCGGTTGGAGAGATTTTCCTCCAATGATATTTCATACACCCACTGTTGAGACGAGTCGAGAACCGGGCATGCATGTATCTAGAGCCTTTGTTGTCTTTATTTAATAGTGATTCTCCTCGCAAGCAATTTGTATCTGACAGCATATAACAAGTAACGCAACCAGGGTCCTCATAATTCCATGACACATATAGTCTTGGTCTGATCATGTCATTTCAATCCGATTTCCCATTACCAATCACCCCTCCCGAAGAAGCCCCCCTATCAGATGAAGGACCGGAAGGGGAGGCAGACTTTTGGGGATTCGATGGAAACCCGAGCCTTCTGTCAATGGCACTATGGGACTCTTCACGGATAGCGAAAATGTCTGGGACTGAGGAGAAACTCAATGACGATAAAGCGAGCTGTTCGCTACCGGTATCTGTAACCAAGCCGCCCCGAATGCTATTATCGCAAAGGGGGTTGGTCGATGATAAGTTCGGCTATGAAACTGAGATCCGCCGTCGAAAAGCCAATATCCACAGGTCAAATCAGTATAACTTGTGGGGATTTCATCCTCCTATTCTACTCTCGCCACCGTCGAATCTGGACTCAAAGCCTGAGATGAACAATTGCTCCGGAGGCCCAACTCAGCGTTTCCCTGAAAGTGATTTTCGCTTTACCACAAAGCGCATCATAAACGATCGAACTCAACTGCTAGAAATGCTGTGACAAATCATGTACCTCGAATTGGGTTGCTATAAACCGTCACGATTAAAACAGTTGACTAACTAAAAAGCGGATGGAAGGAATGGATCTTCTTAATTACCGACCCTTTCAAAAGTAGGATTACAGTGCTATCAGAAATGCGCAATAATCGAGTCGCAAAAACTTGAATTGGAAGCATCATTCCCAAAAGGCCAACTGGACACTGTCTCGGCGAGTGAAGAGGCAAACATGAATCAAGGATCTACCCAAAACAATGTTGAAATCAGTTTTCAAGAGAGTACAGTGCCGACCGCTATCGCCTTCCATATCGAACAACACAAAGAAGCTCTTTCAAACCCTAATCACATGGCACGCTAATCTATATATAGTTAGTCTTCAATTTCAGGATCTGTTCCACGGGTGAATCGTATGGCTCGGAACAAGTAAAATACTAGCTTTGGTATCTATGCATATACTTTTACAGGTCTAAACATACCTGGCCCACCATCAAATAGGTCTAATCCCACGATATCCCCAACAAATAGACCTAACGCTGCCCCATTCTATAGTTATGTGGTTGAAAAAAAATACGAGGTTAAGAGGGCGTTTGAAGATAGTATGGCGGACTCACAGGACTTCGAGTGCATTCCCCTGATCTTTCGCACGCTCGTTTTCCAAAAGACATTGTACATAGGTTGAGGCTCCGATTTTGTCGGGCTTTTCTTCGTGGCATACTCTACGGTGACGACGTGCTGTTATGATTACTCTAGTAAACTCATACAGAGGATACATTATTGTGACATGGCCATTTTTTCCAGACAGATTACAGATGCGCAGTTGTTTGCTGCTTATTGTCTACGCCATCTTTTAATTTTCTCTATAGCCCGTCGCGCTCTGTTCGCACTGGAATTTGCGACCTTCTGACTGTCTGGCAGTTCTTCCTGGTACATGTCCTCTTCTTGTTTCAGCTTATCTTGACTTTGGTAGAGAAGGCCCAGATTATTGACCGTATCCAGAGTGGACATATGATCTGGACCGAGGGCCGTCTTATAGCCGGCCAGTGCTCGCTGGTACATCTCTTCTGCCTCTTTCAGCTTCCCTTGATCTTTGTAGAGAAGACCAAGACAGTGTACTGAATCTAGAGTCGACGTATGATCTGGACCGAGGGCCGTCTCAAAGCCGGCTAGTGCTCGCTGGTACATCTCTTCTGCCTCTTTCAGCTTCCCTTGATCTTTGTAGAGAATTCCAAAATAGTGTACTGAATCTAGAGTCGACGTATGATCTGGACCGAGGGCCGTCTCCCGGCCTGCCAGTGCTCGCTGGTACATGTCTTCTGCCTCTTTCAGCTTCCCTTGATCTTTGTAGAGAATTCCAAGATAGTGTACTGAATCTAGAGTCGACGTATGATCTGGACCGAGGGCCGTCTCAAAGCCGGCCAGTGCTCGCTGGTACATCTCTTCTGCCTCTTTCAGCTTCCCTTGATCTTTGTAGAGAATTCCAAGATAGTGTACTGAATCTAGAGTCGACGTATGATCTGGACCGAGGGCCGTCTCAAAGCCGGCCAGTGCTCGCTGGTACATCTCTTCTGCCTCTTTCAGCTTCCCTTGATCTTTGTAGAGAAGACCAAGGTTGTTGACTGTATTTAGAGTCAACGTATGATCTGGACCGAGGGCCGTCTCATAGCCGGCTAGTGCTCGCTGGTATATCTCTTCTGCCTCTTTCAGCTTCTCTTGGTCGGAGTAGAGATTTCCAAGGTTGTTGACTATATTCAGAGTCGACGTATGATCTAGACCAAGGGCCTTCTCCTGGCCTGCTAGTGCTCGCTGGTACATATCTTCTGCCTCTTTCAGCTTCCCTTGGTCGGAGTAGAGAAGACCAAGGTTATTAACTGTATTCAGAGTCGACGTATGATCTGGACCGAGGGCCTTCTCATAGCCTACCAGTGCTCGCTGGTACATGTCTTCTGCCTCTTTCAGCTTCCCTTGATCTTTGTAGAGAATTCCAAGGTTGTTGACTGTATTCAGAGTCGATATATAATCTGGACTGAGGGCCTTGTCATAGCCTGCCAGTGCTCGCTGGTACATCTCTTCTGCCTCTTTCAGCTTCCCTTGATCTTTGTAGAGAAGACCAAGATTGTTGACTATATTCAAAGTCGACGTATGATCTGGACCGAGGGCCGTCTCCTGGCCTGCCAGTGCTCGCTGGTACATCTCTTCTGCCTCTTTTAGTTTGCTCTGGTCGCAATAAAGATCCCCTAAGCCATGGAATGCTCCCCATAACTCAATATTGTCATCTAAATAATCTAATTGACTTACATAATTAGCGTGTGGAATAAGCCGTTGCTGAAGCTTTGAATAATCCCTGGTACTTGCACTGGGCACAGAGTATCCAACAGATATCAGTGCCAGTTCATTAAGCTGTATCCGATTCACATCTTTGCTTTCGTCGGCAATATAATGGCACCAATCCTGTACCACCGGATGCATCGTGTAGCTTCCTTCTTGTTGCTTACTCTGTAGAAAAGAGAATCCGACGAGAGACCTCATACGGGTTTTAAACGAGAGTCCGTCTGATGTAGCCTTTTCAAGCCAGCCCGGGACATTTAGGCTGTGACTGCCACTCTTCACTAACTCGTACCAGATATCACGACTATCAAAAAGAGCAAGTAGCAACAGAAGGTCTGCTGCGCTTGGGTCACGCTTCTGGATCTCAAGGTATGAGATCATCCATGTTTGCAGCATATTGCCTTGCTGGTACTGACGTCCAGGATTAGATTGCAGCTGTAGCTCAGTCCAAGATTCTTGGTAGAACTCCAAGTACTCAGTGATGCTGGTTCCAGTTTCACGCATAAACGCCCCGGCGATAACAATGGCCAAAGGTAGACCATCCAGACGATTGGCAAGAGTAAGGACATCTATACATATTAGCATGATCTCTAACATCTCTTCATCAAGCGCCATGGTACCTAGATTGCTGTCAAGTTTGCTAGTGGTGTTCCTTGCTGATAGACCACTACTTTGCAGGAGTAGTTGGACTGAGTTACGAGGATCAAGCCTGTGAACTGGGAAAGGCTCCCCTAGCTCAGCAAGCCTTTGACGTCGAGAAGTGATCAGGATGGAGCCATGGTCTGCCTTCGGGAAAAATTCCTCAATGTCATATCCATCAACAACAGCGCTGTGAGAGGGGGAATATTGATCGATGTTATCAAAAATGATTAGCCAACGTGAGTTGCCATTCAATGCTAGCCACCGTAACATATGCCTGGCTCGTTGCTCCACTTCTTCGTCATTAGTCGTCTCGCTATCCCAGCCCTGCCCAGGCAATCGGTTCAAGACAGAGCTTAATGATCGTAGGAGCGTGTCGCGATCTTTGCCACTTAGCCAGAAGATCGCCGTAAATTTATCTCTATGATCTCGCGCGAAGCGAATCGCTAGCTGCGTCTTTCCCATACCGCCAAGCCCGTGAAGAATTGCAACTTTCCGTGATGGTGAATCTGTCGGTTGTAAAAACTGCCACAGATTGTCTAGCTCATCTTGCCGTCCCACGAAATTTGCAATCACGGGCACTGCGGTAAGATCTAGAGGAACATTGAAGCGGTCGACTACATTCAGAAAACTTTATTTAGTCATGGATTCGAACTAGGCACGGAGTGAAACAATTTGAAACTTAGAATCTCTCACCAGAATCTGCTAGAGTGTCTCGTGCAGTTGGCGTAGTTTTGATCTGATCGATCGGAACCAGCAAGACAAGTTCTTTGGTATAGGCTGCTGCCACAGCTGCTGCATATCCTTGCCATTCCTTATTCTTGTGTGAGTCAGCATAGTCACAGATACCCCGAATAACCAGACATGGAAAGTCATTCATGAGCCCTGCAGCTTCCATTTCGACACAAAGAACCCTTAGGTCTCTAGCTAACTCGTCTCGCCGTCTGCCATCTTTCATTACCTGATTTGCGGATGCAATCAGTCCATAGTGTATCACTGGTTCTTCATAATCTCGTGGAAGCCGCGGAACCAGTTTAGATCGATCACAATCGATACATGTATCAGATCCTTCATGGTTATATTCTGATTGATATAGACAGTCCTCTTGAGTGGGTCGTATAAAATTTGCAGCTCTGCGTAGAGGCATTTTGGCTTGAATTCCAGAGATAAATTCAAGAACCCGACTATCTTCTGTGAAGTGGTGGGCTTGGAGTGTAGCGAGGGCAGTCAGCAGGACCTTAGGCGGCCGGTTCAGCATCCCCGTCCGCTGGAATTGACCGTCACTTAACACTTTCCCCAGATCGTATTGAATCACGCCTCCGGATGTGTCTGCTGGTTGGCTCACCACAATATCGCCTAGTCGAATGTCTGCCTTGCTGCTTGGTACACCTCCACCGATACCGACCATCAGACCGAATCGGATAGAGTGGAAGCTAGAGAGTAACTGCATCGCTACCGTTGCAGCTGATACAATACCATATGCGCCACCTGGTAAGCAGGCAAGGACGATGTTGTGTTCCCCGATATTGCCAAGGATATAGTTGTTTTGATCGATTGATAGACTCGGCAGGCTCGGATGGATTGTGTCCAACATCACCTTTGCAGCCGCCATCTCCAGCGGCAGGGCGCATACCCATCCGACCGTGTAATCGTCATGAGATAGGTTGGTCGTAGCAGCCATGTTGGGTTATATAAGGATAATTTCAGGTGATACTGAGAGGCGGGTTTCTCTTATGAGGGTTATCAATGTCTGTCATCGCATCACCATGCCAAAGTTGGAAGCAGCGGGGTTGGGAAGTGAGGCTGAGGCATCATCATCTCACAGCCAATCATTTTTGTATAGTGGGGATGGGCACATAATTAAAGATCGCCATGTTTGCTCATTTTGCATCGAAGCTTCTGGTCCCCTAGTCCTTGTATCTTCCATACTATTATTTATCACTTGGCTATAAATAGACAAGCTATCCGTATCTGGATTAGTGTTTCCCTTAAAAGGAGCTGAAAGGGTCTCTCTATGTTCAAAACCCAGGCACATTCGTTGAATCCTTCATCACATGATGCACTAATCTAGATGTGGTTATAGCTGTATCTGAAAGACTCGTTCCAAAGCTGAAAAGTATGTACCGTAGAAAGGGAAATGGGAAAACACGAGGTGGCGGACGCCCACTGTGACATTCTTGCAACGCAAATGTTCCAGCTTCAGTCCATCAACGTCCTAACATACCGCACAATGGCACGAAACCTCCAGGCCTAGCAGCGGAAACTGATTGTTCATATGTCACTCAGCAAAAAGAGACTAACCATCTCACAGATGGCGAAGGTGGCCAAGTGTAGTGAGCGTTCGGTCACTAACATCCGCAGAAACAGACGGGTGTTTGGCGACTCCAGATCCCCCCCCAGTCCCTGCCGGCCAGCCGTCAATCATCACTCCTGTGATGCTAGACGCCCTTTGTGACCACCTTGCCGAAAAACTCGGCCTATACGTTGAAGAGATGGGCCTATTTCTTTGGGATAAGTTCGAGGTGCTGCCTTCATCATCGAGCGTCAAACGTGCCCTTACGCGGGCTGGTTGGTCAAAAAAGAAAGCCCAGCAGAGAGCAAAGGAACAGAATCCTCAACTACGGGATTTCTATCAGCATAAGCTATCGGAATTTAGTTCGTACCATCTGGTCTTTGTTGATAAATCGGGATGTGATAAACGCGTGGGATATCGACGGACTGGTTTGTCACCACTGGGTGTGACGCCAGTGCAAGTATCTAAATTTCACCGGGTTCAACGCTACCAGATACTACCATACCAGTCTATACACAGGATGGCGTCATCTTGTCTCGTATCTTCAAAGGATCAATTGATGCTAGCTTCTTTGCATCGTTTATTGAGCAACTTCTACAGCATTGTGGAAAATGACCGGAGCCGAAATCCGTGCTTGTTATGGATAATGCCTCGTTCCACCATTCAGACCATATTAAGCAGTTATGCTCTGACGCGGGGGTCAAATTATTGTACCTGCCGCCTTATTCGTCGGATTTCAACCCCATCGAAGAATTCTTTGCCGAGCTAAAAGCGTACATTAAGAAGGCTTGGTCAACGTATGAACAGAATCCTGACCAGGGCTTTCATGTCTTTCTCCGCCGGTGTGTGCATGAGGTTGGTGCGAAGCAGCAGAGCGCTAAGGGTCCTCCCAGCACCAATCGCCCTTGTGTGGGCATGACCGGACATCACATCTCATCAAGCCATAAACAAGATCCCAAGTTGCGGGTCGTTCAGTTATATCTTCTTCAATATCAATACGTCTCCGGCGCTCTGCCAACATTCTGCTTGTTGCTGACACATGGCCTCTCTTTTCAACTTTCTGCGGCACTTCATCGTCGCCCCTAGAATGAAACACAATATCAATTGTAAGTGTTTTGCCCATGCGGACTAAATTGCTCCATTTACGTAACTGCTTTTCTACCGACTTCCAGTCAATGGTAGCGGCACAAAATAGTTCCAGATTTTGCTGAGACCGGTCACCTACCTTAATAGTAACAGCTGTGCCTTCAGATCGCACTCGCTGGCCATTTTTCTTTTTCATTTGCAGCATTTCTTCAACAGCAGGCTTCAAAGCCTTGGTCCAGTAATTCTGAGGAGCGATAACCAACCCTTTTTCTGTCACGCTACCTACCTTCTTACGGTTGAGCATAAGCTTCCACGCAATCGTATAGCGGATATATCCTAGAGATGGCTCGTCATAGTCGATGTCTTCATCCCATTCAGCAAGCGGGAGAAAGCTAAGCTAGTCTGATTGAACCGGATCGGTGACACAAACTAGGGCAGGGCTAGAAGAGAATACGGATGGCGTACGACTAAAGTGACCAGGAGTGGGGGCATATTGTGAATCTTCGTCCCATATGCGCCCTGTTCGGAGTTAATAAGCATCGTCGCTACAAACGCTATTGGCCATTGTTGAAGGAGGGGAGGGAAGCCTAAGCAGATTGAACCGGAAGCGATTAGCAAAAATCTCTGGCGTTCAATAAGATCCGAAAGGATGGCATGATGATGGACAGTGGCGGGGGTTACAAATAAGCTTACTGTCGATTGAGCCTTACACAGCAACCTGGTCCCGGATATACAGGTAGAAGGGCCCCAGGTGCTTCGCAGTAATGAAACTGAAGATACTCCGTACAAAGAGAGACTGTTGGCAAATTGCCTATACAATGACTGGAAGATCGGGTAAATGACTGTATATTTCATACTTGTATTTTAGGATTGTGGTATAGATTACCTGGTTAGCTACAAAACGAATTAATTACATGCTACCCATATCTGGCATGGCGGATCACATGATTAGGGTTTGAAACAGCTTCTCTATATATTCGACATGGAAGGCGAAAGCGGTCGCTACTATAATCCACGTCACTATCACGTTGAGATATGAGTTCTCGTATCCCGTGGACCGTAGATTTTATTTACCCTGACCTCTCGCAAAAAGCGATATGTAGACCACCACAAAACTATATTCCTTTTCGGTATGTACATGTATAGTGCAAGTCTTATTAAAAAGTAATCAGAGCCTCGCCAAGGCCTGCTATGGCCTAGTGGTTGTTTATGTTGTTGGGTTGCCTCTTGTAGCATGAGACTTCGAAAAAATCGTTGTGATGCATCCGCGAAAATTAACACGGCCTCGACCCAAAATAAGGATTAATACGATATACATATAACCTCATGCACCTCTACCTATGACTCATATTTCAGTGAAGATAGTCCCAATGGGGCACAGTTGTGGCGAAAGCAATTCCTTAAGATGTGTTCCGTGGCTAGGAAAGTTTTATTTAGTATGTGACTTGCTCCGAGGTCTCCGGGGACCTAAGAACATGGCTAGCTTAGTAGAGGTACGAGGCTACATCCATTTTAAATAGCAAATGTGCCAGTTCTCTGAATAATATAATTTTCTACCCTTTATTCAATAATTCCCATGATGCAGAGTCTTCATAAAGTGATTTGTAAACGACGCATGCAAACATGCTCCCTCTTCAACTTCCAACTTCGACGCAATGTGGCCTTCTCTCGAAGCAAAGTGCTGTTTTGGAAAAATGAGCTGGCGAATCATGCAACACCGAGGAAAACCCCTAAGAAATCACCCCAAGCTGATATGAGCAGAAACGAAGCATATCACAAGGAAGGTGAATGTGACTCCCTGTAATGTACCCTAGAACCGCCCATTGCCAAGTCGACTTCTGCACCACCCGAAACGAAAGAAGGAGACCATAAACATAACAGTCTTAAAATTTACCGCGAAGGCCCTAATACCGAAAGTGGCGAATTGGGTCCTAAATCCAAATCCGAGGAAGTCAAACGCCATAACAAATTTGTTGCTGATCATCATGAAACGCTCTAAATTTGTCTGACTGATGTCGATTTTCTTAGACTGAAATCGGCTAGCACCCAACCAATTCCGCATTCTGAGTCAGAATTGTCAAGTTGTATCCTAATTGAATGTTTTGCTTCCGAAGCTCCGGTTGGAATATGGACAAGGTTCGTGCGAAGTGTTGTTTTGGCTGATCTCTTCGCGGCGACAAAGTCAACAATGATGCGTCTAGCCTTGACAACGTAAAGAACATCGTCGACAGTCTTATTTTGACGTGCAATGCAGAAACTTATTGTTTCTGCTGCTTCTGTAATGCCCGCCCCAGGTACTCCACTACTTCCTTGTTCTGTGCAGCTTTAAGTATAGCAGAAAGACGATTTCGGACTTCATGACTGGCCATATCAATAAAACGTTCCTGTCGCTGCTTGCGCTCTTGCGCTTCTTGTGCAATTTCCACTTGCAGTAGCTAGGTTGTCTTCTCGTGGGTGATATCTGCTATAGTGCATATAAAGCCGCCATTGGTTAGATTGAGCTGGTGCATATCATCGTCATCCAACGGAGACAACATCAGAATACGCCACAAAGGGATTCGGCTGCGAGTGCGGAACTTGGTGCGAATGGCATGCTTAGAGCATGAGGTCTCAAAAAGCAGTGGCTATCCGGTGAAATCATTTAGATAGATTGATTGTAAATTACAAAGATCTGGTCCCCTTTTCGTCCGCTTAGTCGGAGGAATGACGGTATCGGGCCGCCTCCAAGGCGGAGAAAGGATAAGAGCGAACCTCCCATGGTAGCAGGTCATCTACTGACCCATGCAGCATTTCAATAATTGACACAAAATTGCCATTCACCGCACAGATGACGTGTTCCGGCCGCTTTTGCCTGGAGAAAAAGGCGCTGGAGTATAGCGAAATGTGCGGGGCGGATGTCTGCTGGGCATACGCATTCGACACTCGGGGAAAGTTTTCATTTTTTCCGCAGACGCCTCCGGGTTCTGGTCGTTCCTGAGTTCTCAATTAGTAAGTGTAGGTGGGAATGGGAGATTCCAACTTTTCTGACTCTCTCAGGGCTCTTACTATCCAAGGCCAGTTGAAAGGAATGAAAAGAGCCTCTAGACGCAAATCTTTAATGAACCACTTTTGTCTTCTTCATGTACTTGTTGTACTGACTCTTGTGAGCTGTTTTTGAAGGTCGGGCGAGGGTGGGATAAATTAGCTAGCAGCGATATAGAAAGCCGCAATGGCAATACAGTTCGTGGAGGCAGCTTGGTTCTCCGCTCTATATTTTGAGGACTTGAGTCGCAAGATATGAAAGCTGGACTTGAATTGACCTGATCATATTCGCTGAAGTAGATGGGGTTCCCACCCTCGATGATTCACAGTTTTCCCCTCATGAAGTCCTCTATGTGTCGTCCACAGTCCCGGCGAAACATTATATATGGTCTTACTGATTTCAATATCCAACCCAAGCTCTTCACTTAAGGTTTGAAGCTCCTAGGCATGATATTTGCCCCATTCGCTCCCTTTGCCTGTACAGAAACTCCGGGGCATAGTTGTATCAAGCAGAGGCGTTGTGGACTGCGCAAATTGGAGAAAGTCCCGGATAGTTTCGGTGACTACATCATCGTCCAACTCGTAATCTCCTGAATAGATCAGTCAATCCCGAATAATTAGTTTCTGAATCGTTGGCGGCAAAACCTGAGACATGAGAGGTGCATTGTCACTAGTCCAGCTGATGGAATTTCTGCGGATTTAAGGAGCTGAAACTGCTTCAGAATCCCTATACATTGTTTAAAACTTTCCCCTGAGTTCCCGTTATCGCGGTCGTGAGAACCCCACATACCGGGGTAGTATAGTGGACAAAGCTCCATGCCAACTGAAAGATGTTCAACTGTCCCCTTCACGCTCATCAGTCCGCACATCAGGCTCTTTGAGAGGTGGTCGGGCGGAAGCTTCACTCCAGCCGAGCTCCCTGTCCTACCACGGGTATACAAGGCCCAGATGAAGGCTCTTCGGCGAGGACAGGTGGAACAGAAGATCACTGGCTTCACATCCTTCAATAGGAGGTTCAGCCAGCACAAGCATCTCAAGTCGTGCTAGGTACTTCAGTTTGCTCGATCCAATAGGCTTGAACAATTCTTCTTTAACACCTTCCAAACTTTGTTTTGGAGCCATATCTCTAAAGATTTCAGAGTAGGCAGATAGAACCAGCCTGCAAATTGCTCCGAATCACACGGCGGAAATGCATCGATAAATCGCGCTCCAAGTTCATGGAACCCTCTGGATTGAGGAACATTCATCCCGTACTCGACAATAGACAGCTCGGTAAATCGAGATAATGAGTTTTCAGGCACGGAGAGAAGAGCATGTCGTATCATTAATCCGGGGAACCCAGAACTGCCACACGAAAGTGTAATCTGGCTGCCGGGACTGTAAATTGTGAAGCGAGGAAAGGAGAACCTCCACGAATGCGTATGGATCGCCGTTTTCTAAAGCATAGGTCCAATTGGCTAGTGAGGGGAACTGCGCCTTAGTGATGATATATTTTGCGACGTTGACTTCATTCTGGAATACAGACGACTGCTGGTTCCAGTCTCCATCGATCTACGGCGGATTCCACTTCCATGTCTGCATTTCTGCCGGATACTCCAATCTGAAGGGGATCATGTTCACATGGTGGATTTGAGATGCTAGATCTGGACGCTCATGAATGACTCTAAATAAAGTCAGGCCCCGCTTGAGAGGTGGTTTGATCCAGTCGATATTGACATGACGATATAATGAGCTTTCTGAGGAGGTCTCGTGATGTGGCCACTACAGATGCGGTGTCGGATAGAGAGATTTGATCCAGAATTTGCACCCAACAATCTTGGGGCAGATCTTGCAGTGTGCTGGAGTGGATGAGTGCATAACTCTCTTGGGTGAAGGGATATACTCACTTCCATGTTGATGATTATCCTAGCACAAGTATTGGTCTGCCAAGGCGCTGCGAAAGTCTTGTGACCCCCTAATTACCGCCCCGCCCTTGCCTTCCTAAATAGACTCGCTATTGCGTACGCTCGCATATATACCACGCGCCTTTCTCTACATTACACGATACCTCTATATAATGGCGTACCGAGATTATTCAAACAACCCAGTACTCAGGCGAATCCTGCAACAGAAGTGCTTTTCCATAATCATATCCTTCGAATCTTCTCATACTCAGGCAAAGCCCATTGGACCATCCATTCACATTCGAGAAGCTGCTTCGCAGTAGAGCAATTCTCAGGCCTGAATTTAATTATCCTTTCTCTTCGGTCATGTCCTTTTGTTGTCTTTTTGGATGCCGCTTGGAATGCATTTTTGTCCTTTCATTTTAGAAGCATGAATACAAGAGGCGACAAACTGCCGCATGCATGCGACGAGAAGCACCATGCTCAATAATATACAGCTTTCATCACACAACTTCTTGTTTTATCCTCTTACTCCGCCTCGTGCCAAGATCACCAGAATCATCCTTTGGTTTCTTTAATATCGGACTATTCGCCGGGTCCAAAACTTTCACAGTCTTTAAACCAGCTTCGGGATCTTGAGTGGCATAGTAAGCCGAGACAGCGATGTTGCGCAGCACATAAGCAACCCTCTCAATATCGATAAAAGAGACAGGTCCATCCTCAGACCTTTCTCCCACGCCATCGTTCAGCCGTGCCCGCAGCCCCTGTGAAGCATTCCACAAATCTCGATACTCATTCATATTGTACTTGACAATCAACTCCCCATTGGGCTTCTTATGTTTAGAAGGCTTCTGCACCTTAGCATCCTGGCCCTCTGGAAAATCCGTCAAACATAGCCAAAGGTACACATCGTCACTGTAAAAAGGAACCTGTTTCTTAGCATCGCTAAAGACCGTGGCGATAGATAGAATCAAAGATGCAGTAGCCGGGCCAACGCCACGGATAGGCGCAGTAAGAGCATCCAAACTAGCTTTGGGGAATGCATCGTTCGGCGCAACCATAGGGTCTGCATCTGGGAGGGTGGCGAAAGCTGTAAATGTAGACTTGGTGATCGTGGCGACTTGGTTGCTTTTCACCATTCCCATGAGCATTGGACGGGAGACTCCATGTTTCCTAGAAGTAAGTCAGAACAAGCCTGAACCTACACGCGTGAGAATGGCAAATTGCTACTCACGTCTTCCATTCCATGATATCAATTAACTCCTCCTTGAGTAAATGCGCTCCCTCCGGCACATTTTCTTTCTGGCCACCCTCATTCGCCCGCTCCGCGATGATCTTTGGCAGAGTTTCATACCGCCAGCGGTCGAGCTGGAGGAACTTATCCGTCTCTTCGAGAATGTGCTTCTCTTGTGACGGATCGACCTCTGCCTTCGTCTCCGCCTTGCGCTTTGATCCCCTCCCTACCTTCGACTGCAGTTTTAGCATAAGCTTGCCGCGGTGCACTCGCTCTACCGTCGAAGGGTAGTGGGATAACAGGTTGCGGAAGGTCTCAAGGGTGATAAGGCGCGGATGGAATGAAGCATGTTTGTTGTCATCCCCATCATTCAGGTTGTCTTGGCTCTTGTCGGGCTGGACAGGTAGTATCCTTGTTTTTGTTTCCTTGGCCATAGCGGAGCATTACTAAGGCAAGGCAATCTGGGAGACGTTGGAGGATGTTGGAGCTTATGGAGATCCCGAGATTCATATAAGCTGTTATCGCTATCTGATAAGCTTTGTATTGTACGGCCGCCCGTCCACGGGTGTTACGGACTGTATTTTACTTGGTATGTGTAAGTTTATGTAATTACATACACAACCTCCAGGGCTCGCTCGGTCTTCCCAAAAGATAATAACAGGCATTCGTTCCTGGATGGAGGACAAAAAAAACATACAACAGTGAGGATTCGCTGGTGGTCACCCACCCAACTACTAACTCACCGGCGTGTGGCTTAAGTACGGCTGAGCGGACGGGAAGCCCTGTTTTCCACACCCTATGGTCGTATGTACGAGATTTTACGTGAATAGGAATCAATTAGGTGTTTGCGATTATGCTAGCGTGGGACTATATGGGACCAGGTTATGGAACCAAAACTTTTTAGTCCCATGGGAGTTGTCAAGGTCTACACTAGATATCCTTAAATATCTATAGGATATTGGGTGGCATACTATTTCCACAAAATTGAGGATTGCGGAGAGGATATATGGATATCCATAGACATTGAGGATGTTGCTGCAGCCTAAGGCTTATATATAGGGTTATGTTAGAACGACCTAGAATAGGAAGAAATAGTCAAGGCCATTTCCGCAATTCTCTTTCTTATAGTATCATATCGAGGGACTAATTTAGCCGACGTACTGAGTCGTTTGTTACAGGCCACTCGGTTTAGTAGCTCGAAACTATGTTTCCGAGCCTTTCAAATATCCCTTCACTCTACAAACGCTTAATAAGCAGTTCCGATATATGGCCTAAGGCTAGACATTGTTTTATTTTATAAAACCTAGCCCACTTCTCTCAGGCTCAAAAGTGCTCGTGCGGTAAGATATACTTCAAGTCTTCTTATACGCCGCATGGGATCTACTGATTGAAAGATATGATTTTGGAACAGGATTCTTCTGTTCTGGGCTTTAAATGCAGATCATCACAGTGTGTGTAAGTAAGTATGAGAGCCCAGGAGATCCAAATTACATTATAGGGAGAAACGTACTCAAGTTAATAGTGAGCAAGATTATCGCGAAAGGCTATGGAAGCCGGCTTGGAACAACAAGACAGAAGAGTGTGCACGATCTAAAAACGTCGCTAGCGATTCCTGGAATGCCTGACTTAGACTACCTCTTCTTTTAAAATCAATGGACCGAAGGGACCAATTTCTGGTTCCTTGAACAAAAGCCATATCTCAAGTGCTTGATGAGACGGACTCTTCTTCTTGTATACTTTGGGTAAATGGAGGCGCTGCGACTGGAAAATCAGTCCTCGCCTCATTTGTTATTAAACATCTCTTGATCCAAGTCAAGTGGAAAGAACGACTGTGTTCTTTCCCATCCAAGGATACACCCCGATGCCCAAACGGGCAGTAGCTTTCAACCTTAGAAGTTCTCCTCAACTCTCTCTCTCTCTTCCTTTTTCCTTTCTCCATCCTTAAAGTACTCAATCATCGTTTTTCGTAATCACATAATATGACCGACGATACTGAAACCATTTTTTCCGAATTTTCGGATCCCAACCGACGATCGTTGATTGATCGTATCTGTGTCGCTCTCGGCAACCACAGGATCCCACGCGTGAAGGCGCTGGGTCTATGGTTCGCTGACATCAAGGCCCTGGAGGTCCTTGTAGGCCACGAGCGGAACCCACACATGCTTCGACACCTCCTGGTTGATTTCTCTCAATACAATCTTCCGAGAATTTGTGCGTATTCACGAGACCTGCCCCGCCCTTGTATCATTGAACTAATATCTTTTATTCAATCAGGGGCCAGTGATGGACAAGCACCTCGCCCTGGCCAACCCAGGGTACTGGAAACCAGACCCGATGTGGGCGCACGCGGCGAGAGGAGTGCCGCTGCTGACATCTCGAGCCGACGCCCTGAACGTGGTGATCGTGGTAGATCTGACTCTCCGGCACAAGCCAGTACCGCTGTTCGTTTGCGGTCAGAGTCCAGAATCCCGGTACCCCAGGGCAGGGGTCGGCGAAAGAAGACAGCTGGTGACCCCGTGAGTTTGTCAGGAGTATTCATTATAGAACACTGCTGACCTCTTTGATTTCTAGACCGAGGAAAGCATTAGGGTGACAGTGACAGATCGTGAGGGGGCTAGATGTGTTCTGACCTGCCGTGGAGAACCATCGCTTGAGGTAGCCCGTATTATACCCAATAGGATCAATGGAACCACGCGGGACGAGCATGATGAAAACAGCGTCTGGAACTTTCTTCGCACCTTCTGGTCCGAAGAAAAGGTCGATGCATGGGAGCAAGCCCTGATGCCAGGTGGTTTGCTAGTGAGCACTGAGCGGGTATGCAACCTGATCACGCTGGATCTCACAGCTCACGATCAATGGGACCGCGGACTCATTGCATTCCGGCCAATTTCGGCCAACGAAGAAGAAACTGAAATGCGAATCGCATTTCATTGGCTTCCTTTCCGAAGCGCCACCATCGCTAGGAATGACCGAATGCCACCTGCCGCAGTCCGAGACATGGATCTAGGAACTCCACCGTCCACGAGCCCCGGGAGATTTAATTACTTTTTCGATATGGAGACTTGGGAAGTAATTAGCTCAGGGCATGTCTTCACGGTGAGAACTAACGACAAGGAGAAACAACCATTGCCTTCGATAGAACTTTTGGAGCTGAGATGGCACCTCTCCCGCATTGCTGCGATGCAGGGAGGAGCAGATGAGGATGATGACAGTGGTGACGATTCTGACGGTGGGTCCTTTTCAGTCCCATCAGGGTCGCGATCACCCGTCAAATGAGAGCGTATGCTTTGCGAGAACGTGCCTCCTCAATCTTCCACTCGGTCAGTCTCACCCAAAAAGTTGCAAACTTTGCCTTTTAGGGGAAGTCTCAGTTCCTTAATCGAAGAAGGCCATTTGTGATTGTCTTTGCCTTTCCCTTGAAGGAGTGGAGAGCTTTGGCTTTGTCTTGTTCCTGAAGGGGTGATGAGATGGTCTGATCCTGAAAGGGTGGTGGGCTTCGGCTTGTCTTGTCCATCATGGAGTCACTTGTTGTTAGTGTATTCTCGATAGGGTGGCGAGGTTCGGCTTTGTCTTCTCCTTGACGGAGCAACCTAGATTCCTGTCGGTTTGCCTCTTATTCCTGAAAGAGTAGCGGAATTCGGTCTTGTCTTGTTCTTGACGGGGTCGTTTGCTGTGGGTCAAAAAATAGTATGTAAACAAGCTAATCGAATATCATTTTATAACGTCAAGCATAAAGCCAACTTGGAGCAAATCGTCTTCCCCGCATGCATTAAGAGCCCGACTTTCCCTTTCTTCTCTCTTTTTTCTTCTCTGCTTTTGTTCTTATTACCCTCCCCAGATAACCATGTCTTCCAGTCTGTCATTACTCGCACACCTTCGCCCGCGCGTGCTGGCGCGAACTCGACCGGGCGCAATTCGCAGTTTCACCATCTCTCGGCGTCTCCGTCCAGATGCGTCTTCGGTAGCCTCTGTGACGATCCAAGTATGTGATGATCCAAGTATTCTGCCGTTGCTGACCGTGTTGGTTCTTTCCTGTTTAGGTGGACGTCCTAAGCAAGTGGGTTGTTGTTTGCATGGTTTGCACTATCGAGGGCAGGGACCCATAAATCCTGTCATTCCACCAATGTTTTCCTTTCCTTTCTTTCTCTCCTCTGTACTTAGTATTCTAGTTAAAATGCACTCTTTTACTTAAGGAAGGAACTGGCTGGTAACATAGTACTAAGTACCCTTCTCATCCCAGAAGCAGTACGGCTATATAGATCATCATTTGGTGACACCGATTTCCGGAAATATTGTAAGAAGTAAAGTGAGAGACCTCACAGTCACTAGGTCCTTTGGCGACATGATTCGTCGCTCATATACTGTGTACAATGGCATCAGGGTGCAAACCTTCTTTACCGTAAGATTATATTCGATTCTTGCAGGAATATCGCTATCGTAATACATAATTCACCCTTCTATCATTCAGTTCCGCATAATTCGCTGTACTATGAACTATCTCTCTAAAACTTAGTTATCTCGTATGCAGAGCTTAGATACCACACTTGCTAGATAATAAAATAGCAGAAAGAGTTCTGGAAGAGACAGGATGCATTAATACCCTCCAGAGATTCCGATATAACCTTCATCTGTGTAAATCTAGTTGCAGATCTGTATGGTATACTCCGTACTTCGTACTTCTTCGTACTTCCATACTAGATGCCTCGCACGGGATTACGTGATAGTTCAGAGCATTACAAGCACTTGGTATCAAAGTACATCGTTGTAGCTGACACAAGATCTATTGAAGTCTACCAACGTATTCAAAACCATAATCTATGCCAAACCAGTCGCATTTTGTTTTAAACTCATCGCTATGTACAAATTCACGGCCGTCAAGTCTTGATTAAAAGCAGATATCAGATACAGGGGAGACGCATGCATCACAAGAATAAGAATGGGGGGTAGGGGAGACAGAAGAAATTCGTCAGATCATACAATCCATGCATCACGGGCTATCGTCAAGATGGCCGGTTTTCCAGTGAATTGTTGTTCGACATGACGGATGGGGTTGGGGATAAGTCGAAATAATGGCGAATAGGAGACAAATAGGAGGCGGAGGGAGACGCAATGTCTACCGTTGAAGGGAAAACAAGGGAAGAGAGGAGATGAGAGGTGTCGGAACGGTAATGGTACTGGGTGAACAGTAGCCGTACAGATCGGATCGAGGCGCGTTTAATATTAGGGTGTTGTACCCTAGGGGCGTTTTTAGTAATTTTTCTCGTATGACGAATGGTGAAACGATTAGTGATATCGCGAATTCGCGATTTCACCTCTTAGAGGGATTGGGTTTGCGCTCGGCAGCACGCTTGGCCTTCGCGGCATTTTCCGCGGAAGTAGAATGGAGATAGCCGACGTGCTGATCGCCATTGTCACTGAACGGGACTATGGACGATAACTTGTTGGAGCGACCGCGCATCAAAGGCTGAGACAGAGGTGGGCCGGATTGCGGCGCAGGACTTGCGAGGGAAGGTCCCGGCTTGGCTTCGGCGGCAGCTGACGGGGCAGTGGCGCGCTCGTCGTCCTCAACCTGAATGTGGCGGAACTCCTGCTCCTGCTCATCTGCTTCGGATGGTGGGGGGCTGTCGGAGTCAGAGGCTGCCTCGTAGTCATCTTCATCATCACTGACCAAGCTGGGAGCTTGGTTGGATTCGATGGCGTGAGGGCTGAGGTTTTGATGATCCAGGCTGTCCGATTCCCGGGACTGCAGTGATTGAGACTGTCCAGCGAGCGAAATGTCCAAAAAGGACTGAGGGCGCGATGGGGTCGCTTGCTCGGTGGGTGGGGTGTGTGCGCGGTCGAGGGCCTTTCGGCTCTCCGACTCGCCAGCGGTTTGACCAACAGGCATGCGCATCGGCTGGCGACCGGCGCGAGCACCAAGTGAGGCATGGCTGGCTCCCGCCGACGGGCGAGCGTCATCTGTTTCCGAGTCATCGTCGAAAAGACCAGCAAGATCGACCGGCTTTCGGGATTCCTCTACCAACTTGTCCATGTCTAGACCAGCACCACGTGATTTCATGAGAGCGGACAGATGAGGAGTGGCAGGAGAAGCCAAAAACTGGGGGTTCGGAGGCTGTCGGATGGGCTCGGAGCGTCGTCGGGAGGTCGGTTCAGCAGTCGAGGGAGGAGTGGCAACGGAGACGGCAGTCGGTTTCCGGGGGGGTGATCAAGTCCTTAGAGGTATGAAGAGACTTCCAAGGGGTTGTAGCAACGTGGGTAGAGCGGATCAAAGGATGCACGTAGCCTGGGGTTGTTGGATTGGCAGTGGGCTCAGCAGAGCCACCGACCACAATCCCGGCGTCGTCCACCTGAACAGACTGACCACAGGCCATGGCAGCCGCGTCGTGACTGGCAAAGTTGCGGTTGTGTGCGATGCGACAGTGGTTAATAAATCCCTGGGTGCTGGAGAAGTTATCGCGCCGGCAGTCCAGACAGACCAGCTTGACCAGGACACCATCCGACTTGCGCCGGATGAGCATCGGCCCAGACTTCTCCTTGACCACGGGGTAACCAGCCGACAGTGCAGTGTGCTTCGCGCCCGTTGAGCCACGCTGGGGACGAGACTTACCCGCCAGCATGCCCATCTCACCAGGATTCCCGCGTGTCGACCGACCTTCAACCAGCGAATTTGCCAGCGTTCCAGAGTCGACGTCACCTCCGTCAAAGCGAGGATCGGGAAGCAACCACCGTGCGTAGTGACGGGCGTACGGGCCTTCCGTGACTCCCCACGGCGCAGGCGACATCGGCGCCGGACCATTTCCAGGTGCCAACACTGACGCGCCCGTTCCCGAGCTCACATCCGGCGAGACACCCGCAACACGGGATCCAGGATACGGGATTTCGCCACAGCGTCGCAACTGTTCCAGAGCGACTTGACACTTGGCGATTTCTTGGTCAATGAGACGAAGTTCGTTGTGCTTGAGCAAAACCTCCAAGCTCAGCTGGGCGGTGATGGTTTCCCGAAGTCGAGTCACACTAGGTCCGGCGACGACGGCGTCCTGCGCCGTCGGACGCGCGGATGCGACCGGTGGGTTTGACGAGACAGTTGGAGTAGAAGGGGGCAGGACCGATTCAGTTGCGATCACGGGAGTTGGGCGCGTAGCAATCGAATCCGGGCAGACTTTCGTCGGGACGGGCGCATCGGTCGCGTGGGAGTCGGAACGTTTGCGTTTGAGTGGCAGCAGAGTATTGATATCTGTGCAATTTGGGGCCAGCATTTTGACCTCTTCCACCTTATTCCCTATAGTAGAGGGCCAGGGAAGCAAGCTGAACATGCCATGTGAGTGCATAGAGATGGTTTTGGATTAGGTGGCAGGTGGTCCATGCGTTATTACGGAAAAGGAATGGACGTCGACTGCGCGACCGGTTGATTACGGAAGGCGTAAAAATTTATTAAGAGGAGAATACAAGAAAAGTTGAATAGGGGGAGGAAAAGAGAATAGGGGAAAGAATGGGAAAAAGAGAAAGGGGAAAGGGAAAGGGGAATAGAAGAAAGAGAGAATAATGGGGAACTGGGAAAAAAGGGAGTGGAGTTATGATGTGATACTTGTTCTTCAAGTACAAATTATATGGGCAGATCATGTACCCTCTTTGGATCAGTCTCAAATATCTGCGACACGTCATTATTTATTTATTTATACATTCCATAGTATTCCTGCCTATTATCTTAACATAATTCTATTAACCATTCACCTTTCACCTTTCACCTATTCACTATTTACCTGTTCACTAATTCACCTATACACCGATACCCAACATACCCAAAGAAATCCAACATGCCAAGACTATGGGCTGGGCCTTGTGTTTCTGCCTAAGCCAGTTGTATCTACGATCTGGCAGTTCCCCAGCAAATCATATCTTATATCTCTAAAAACTTGCAGGGGGGCGAACCGGGTGTAAACTGGTTCTGATTGCGCCTCGATTACATGTGGAAAACACAAAAGTACACGTCTCCCAAATCCATATAGGTCGGATGTGGCTGAGAAAGCAAATGGAAAGTTGTGGAACATCATCGAACTGGGGACAAGGGGCAATTCTTCCCCAGGTTCTGAGGGAGAACTACAATCTAGCCACTATATATCGCCCCTATTTATAGCGTATTTTACTATATTCTAGCCATTTATGGACCTAATTTCTTAAGATCGGACTTTCGATCAAATTTTCTCTCGGGCCAACCCGCCAACTTGGAACTCCGAACTGAACTGCTGATCACAATAACCCTAACTCTTCCCCGTCTTTTCAAATATCCACTCACATCCGTTTCGCTCGATTTATATCTTGTTCGTTTCATCCCTGACATCGTGGACTCCAATGCTTTACGCGTAACCCAACCCACATGGTACGGAGTACTCTTTGTACACAGACACACAACATGTGCTAGGGATTACCCGATTCCCCACGTTTCCCACACTCCAGCGTCGCTTGGAGTCCGCACAGGTGGTAATCCATCAACGTACCTATGTAGCATACACTGTCTACATATAAACATGCTGTATATAGACGTATAAAAATCCTTTCATGGAAACTGTTATCTTGTCCCAAAGTTTAGCATTCTAATGAAAAATAACATCCCCTGCTTCTGCTAACCCAAAGCAAATCGCTTATCAAAACTCTCTCTTTCTAAAAAGCTGATAACTACTCGCGCACCCTCCTAATACTCGCTGCCCTCCCAATCAACACCAACACCCCTTGGCGCCCTACACACTACAATATATACCAACACCCTCATTGACCTCTAACCAACGAACCAACCCAAAATGAATATATTGCCCAACATACTTTAGCAAGTCACAATATAAACCTTGCTAGGTGGCTTGAATACAAATCAACATCAATCTAGTCAGGTGCAGGGATTTTTGAGTAGTAATATTGTGTTTGATGCGGCCATTACTAGGCGATTTGGCGGTAATTATTTACATTGATGTGAGGGGGTCGAGGGATGGGTGAGAAGGTTCCTGTTTTTGTTGATGAGTGGGTTATTGACCTCGAGACTGGTAATAACAATCAATGTGCTTGCGCTCCGGGGATTGTAAAGGGTCGGTTTGGCAGTAGTTTACTTAGGGTAGTCTCTGGATGGCAAAATTCCCCGGTTATGCTGGTTAAGCAAGATTATTGGAACTTTTTGAGTTTATCCAGGGATATATATGTTGACAGAAGGTTATGCGAATTGCCCGAGAGATCGACGGAGTGTATGTATAAATCGATGACGCAAGGGATTCACTTCAAGTTCACTCGTTCATTCTTTTTATGCTCGTCAGACAAGCACAATATCCCCAAAAACGCCAATTGCAATATAAACAGAAAAGACAGACGCTCGACTCGAGAATGTGAACGTACAAGGCACTCTGGCCTCACAAGCATAAAGCAGACCAACATACGCCAAATGAGTACATAAAACAGACATAGTAGTCAAAATAAATCATGAACGAACGAGAATGAGCCACAAGTGAATGGGCCAACGTAATCAATGGTATAATATTCAGATGGCCGAACAGGAGAGATTGAACCCCGATTCAAAATTGCCAACAAACAACAATCGTATCTGTCCAGATCCTAGTTCATCTGCCCATCCCGAATGCGCAAGATGAAGTTAACAATCACAGCGGCAAGCAGGGCAATGGCGAGGATTGTGGGGCCGAATCGATCATCGATACCACTCTGCCCGCGCCGACGAATACTTTGCGCCCGCCAGTGGAATGTCACTAGTGCGTAGATCATTGCGCCCATGGCGATAACGGTGAAGAGGGCTGCGGAAATGCGACCGATGCGATCGCCGAAGTTAAGCAGACCGACGGCGAGACCGCCTAAGATGACGGTGAAGTTCAGCCACGAGAGGAAGGTGCGCTCGTTTGCAAAGAAGACTTTAGGCTCGACTCTGGTTGGGAGGGCGATTCGCTTGCCTTTTAAATGTTAGATATGCTCGGTGTGAAGACTGGAGGCTTGTGGTGGGGGTGGGGATGGATGACGAGTGCGATCGTTTTGTTTCTGGTGGATGTTATCGCGGTGAGTCGACGTAATGATCGCACGTCAACCAACACTGCAATGACAGCTACATCATAGGAGAAGTCGAATGATCGCACGCCAATAAAAACCGTGGTGAGGGGAAGGGGTCCAGGTGGAATTGTCTCTTGTGCTGAGCTGTTAAGCTGTTGGGATTGGAAGTGTCGTCGGACTTACCCGGAGCGGTTTGGAGGAGAGGTTGGCTGGACATTGTCGGATGTGAAGAGGTTGGAATTGAGGATGTTAGAGACTGGGAGAGATCAGAAGAAAAGTATCAGAAGAAAATTGTAAGGGAGAAAGGGAAAGCAAAATAAAGCGGGCAGTCAAGAGTCGAGAGCTTCTTGTTCCGTCCTGGGACTAGCGGATACAGCTCTTTTGCACGTGCGTCTACGATTTGATGAGAGGATCAGGTGACTAAGTATATGAAAATAGCGCCTCTTAGTGGGTTTGATCTTATTTAGTCTACATTATATATCATAGTCATATATAAAGCTTGAATATCTACCAAAACCTTGCTGGTTCGAAACTATCCCTTGATACTTGCATCTCCGAAAAAGTCCCGAGTATCCTGGAAAAAGCCTACATACTTCACAATATCACCTCTCTTCTCTCTCGCCCCCCATACGGCAAGACAATGCACCGAGAAATGGGGCACGCGACCAAACAACGAAGAATTACTAGCGCAATTATATATCATCCGAATATCCTCCGATTCGTAAACCCAACAGGTAAAATGTACACTCTTCTATCTATTATCTTTTCCCGATATCGCCCCGAGAAAAACGGGTCGGAATCGAGGCTGTAATTAATTCCGAGCCGTTTTCACTGGGCCCTAGCACTCACGGTCTAGAAGAAGTAGGCCCACTTTGACTTTTCGTATAGCGGATCAAAGCTGTGTATCTATGAGGACCTAATATGTGGAGGGACTCACCTCATGAGCTTGCTCCTATTTATTGGGTTTAATATCCTTTTGGCTGTAAAGTAATTCTCCAAATATAAAACAGCAGAGCTAACCAGAATATCAACAAGCCTACGTCATAGTCGGCTTGCCAGCCCTAAAATCCCAATCCTCGCGAATCAAATCGGCAGCTTTCTCTGCAACAGCGTAAACACTACTAGCAATGTTCCCAGAAACATTATTCGGGAACACTGATGCATCCGCAACACGCAGTCCCTCGACGCCCTTCACCCTCAATCTGCTGTCCAATGCATCTCCCATAGCAACAGACCCGCTGATATGATACTCACCCGCAACGAGGTCGTGCACTGCCTCTCGTGCCGTATCCATGTCCTGCAAATTGACACTGGGCTTGGGGTACCTGCGCTTCAGGATTGACGACTCCAGGTGCTTGGATTCCGCGACTTTATCACCCCAGCGCAGGAACGCCGCCAGGAGGGAGACGTCGGCTGGGTGGCCGCCGTAGTTGGGGTTGATGATGGGGGGCTTGGTTGGGTCTGGATGTGTTAGTATATGAAGTGATTGGGTATAGAAGGGACATGTGTTTAGTTGTTACTTACCCGCACTCTCAATATGGATAGACCCTCTAGCCACAGGGTACTGTATACAAAGCGCCAAGGTCAAACCAGCCGGCTGATCAGCTGAACGCGGCTCAATGATCTTGCCCTGATGACCTATGGCATTCGGGTCCATGGAAGCTGTCACGCTAACAATCTGCATATTGGCAGAGTGGTCGCTCTCAAGGTGCGCGATAGTCTGCTCGAGCTGTTTCGCGTGAAACGCGCTAGTCGGATTGATATCGCGAATGCTATGGATGATATCTGCCAGCTCTGTCTCGGAGAGGATCTTCTTTGCCGGGAAGAAGCCCTGCATACTGCAGACCGAGCTGAGTGGCCCATTGCTGGTTTCGGCATACTGCTTACCAGCAGCTTCCATTGCCTCTGGCACTTGGGCCAGGGTGTCTAGTGTAACAACGCCGGGCTGGACATCCAACACGCTGAAGGTGATGGCGTGGTCTAGGACATTTGCGCCGACCCCGCTGTTGGCGACCTTGCACTCGACGCCGGCGGCTTTAAGAATCTCCGGGTCGCCGACGCCGGATAGCTCCAGGATCTGAGGGGATTTGATTGTCCCGCCGCTGACGATTACCTCGCGCCGTGCGGAGACTTGGTACTCGACTCCGTCGTGTGTGAGGCTTACGCCGGTGGCTTTGTTGCCGTCTAGTACGACACGATTGACGAGGGCTTCGCAGAGGACTTTGAGGTTCGGGCGGGTCTCGCGGTTCGCTTCATAGTATCCTCGTGCAGAATAACTGCGCTTGCCCTTGTTCGGACCGGTTCGAATGACTGCGCCGAGGGTGTGATAGAAGCCGATGTGGTCGCCGCTCCATGGGTCGGTGGGCTTGCTTGTGATGCCGGTTACTTCCTCGCAGGCTTTGATGATCTCGTTCTCCACTGGTGGAATTGTATCATTGAAGCCAGTACGGACGGGCCCGCTCGTGCCGTGGAACTCGCCTACGAGTGGCATAGTGGAGCGATCGGTGATGGATTCATCGATTGGCTCGAGAGTCTATTCATTTTGTCAGTTTGTGGGAACGAATCAAATTGGAAAATGCAAATTCTGAGATCATACCTGGTGCTTTCGCATATATTGCTGCATCTGCTTTCCAGACCAACCATCGTCCTCTACAATCTCTGCCCAGTCGTCGTAGTCCTGCGTCGATCCTCGCACGTACATCATATAATTGATGCCGCTGGATCCACCGAGGAGCTTTCCCCGTGGGATATGGTGAGAAACGCCACGGTTACCTTCCTATAACCCCAGTAGTTAGCAAATCAATGTTATATAGATGCAATGGAATACAGAATCAACCTACCTGTGGTGTCGTATACATACACCAATCATAGTCGGGATTCTCGAACATGTTTGGGAAGGCCGCAGGAGTATCAACCAACGGATCTCCAATGCGATACTTGCCTGCCTCAATAACGCCTACGGTCACATCGGGATTCTCGCTGAGACGCGCCGCAAGGACGAGTCCTGCAGTTCCGCCGCCGCAGATGACATAGTCAAATAGCGTACGGGTGAATTCCTCGACGACGCAGGTTGGATTTTCGGCCATTATATGTATGATTTAGACTTGTTGGAAGAGTAGACCTGGGGGGATCTACCGGTTAAATGTGAACAAGAGGGGAAATGAATGCCAAATTCGGGTTGGATCAACAGCGGGGGTGAAAATTCAGCTTTTAGGTCTGTAGAAGAGACTAGGTGAGACTAAAAATATACGACACACTAAACAATACTCCAAGACGTCTAGTTTAGACTCCGTGGACCAAGCGTGGCAGCTGAAACACTCACTATACCTTTCCGGTATAAGACTCCACCACATGAATATGTGTTGAATTACTCCGTTTTTATTGCAGATTTAATACACTCAAGCTACTCTTTGCTCCAATTGACTGAAGTGGCCATGAATTGGCCACGTATTCCCCGTAGGATCCACCCCAGTTGAGAAGATGAAGATTGGTTAAAATTGTCAAGTTTTATTGTCAGCCGCATAAAACCGCTACGCAAAGACCCGCTAATGCCCGCTAGAGCTAATGTCTTGTACGGAGTAGGGTCAGCGTGGCCCACATACTGCTGATCGTCCCTGCCGCTGGCGCCTTTGGCTTTTTGAACTGCGTCGATCCCCAAAAAACAGAACATATGACTGGGGGAGAATGCTTCTATAAATATGACAGGTTATCGGTAAATCGCCCCATTGCCGTTGGTGGATGCCGTTGGTGATACGGTTGACAAAGGTGGAGGAATCTTCGAACGTGTCATGCTATTTGTGACTGAACAAATTACTCCGTAATCTGGACCTTCGTGTTGTTGCGGTTTATCTGCCGTACGGTCTAGTCGCAAAGTGGATGTAGAGATCCCACTGCTCAGAGGCAATCTCATATGGGAAAGCTTGACGCTTGACAAAGATGTCTGCTGTTGACGTACACATTCATCGGCAGCAATTCTTCAGTCCCGACCAGTCGAGAGGAAAGGAGCCATATGTTTGTGTAAATCGCTTCAAAAATGCTATATGTACAACGTATCAGTCCAATGGGTCATGAATACGACTATGTTCCAAATTTTCGGATGACCCAGTCACCACTCCAATGCTCAGAGCCCCATCTTCCGCTGCACCCAAGCAAGAGCACTCTCCCACCTCGGATCTCCAGACTTTAAAGCCTCGAACAACTCCGAAACCAGCGCTCTACCTGAATCCCGCGCCCACCACCGCTTCTCATCAAGCTCCTTCAACAAAACCCCCCAGTACATAAGAATAAGCAATGAAAACGGCTGCCGACACCGGAGGCTATCAACAAATCCCTTCTCAACATGCGCAAGCCAAGCAAGAACCGGCGCCGGATCTGCTGAGCGCGCAAATTTAGCATAACAATGCCTCAAATGCGCAATGACATCCTTATTAATGCGATGTTGGTCCGAGTAAATCCCAATCATAACCTGATCATTCAACGCCGCCAGATGTGTCAGCGCAGCCTCTGTATCTGAGTCGAGGTCGGTCGGCGTTTTCTTCCAAAACTCGCCCCGCGAGAATAACTCCAGTTTGATCCACGACTTGCTGACTTGCATGATCTTCTTCACACCCTGCAGCAACTCGAACAGTACCACGATGTTCTCTGTGATACTGGCGCAGTCGTCTTTCGTGACGATTAGTCGAGGTGAGGCGATACTGATCGCGATCATGACGATCGAGTGCGCAAATACTGCGTCGCAATTCTGCGGCGTGATGTTATCGATCGCGTTGCGAAATGGCGTCAGGCTGCGATTATAGTACTGCAGTCCTGTTTCGTAGTACTGGGATACTATTTTTGATGGCTCGCATGTTGTTGCGATGTGCATTGAGGCTAGCGCCAAGATCCCGCTCATCAGGTAGTCATGTTTGAAGGCGAGTGTTGGGACAGTTATTTGCCATATTTCTATTTCTGATTCGCTGATGCAGAGACTTTTATATGTGTCTGTTGCAAACTTGTGCATTAGTTCGAGGTTGTCGATGCCGAATGAGTTTGTTTGGATTGGTGTCGGGACCGGGATTGGTAAACCAGCTGGACTGGGCATCGCTGCTTTAGGCAAGCCATGGCCACCCAGGGGCCGGGATATGTTGGATGTTGAGCTGGGTGGGGTAAGATGGGTTGTAGCGCGACGAGCGGCGGCGACTTTCAAGTATGTGCATTTTAACTCGCGGGTTGTGCAGTTTGAACATGGTGGGCCCTGCTCATCACATTTCACCCGCCTGCTTCTGCATTGATCACATCCGTTGCGGGATTTGGTGTGCGCACGGAGAGGGGGCATGTTCAAAGCTAGTTCACATGCTGAGCCCAATCATGAAGATGACTGTGGATATATAAATGGGAGAACATTATCCGAGCATATTCCCCCGTATCATGTGACCTGGGTCTAGAACAACTTTGGAAGTATACGGGTGGAGTTGACACTTGCTATTTATATTTCGTTAGATTTTATATGATCTGTTCATATTCTCAGTATTCGCCAAATCAGACACTGCATCATTAAATGCATATTGGATGTGTTGGTACGGAGTATATCCAAAGGATCAGGCGTCATTGCCAAGATGCTATTATCATTAGAAATAAACATATAATCATCACGAATATCCCCGCCCAGATAATTCCACTGGAAATTCAACAAGTCAACCGCATTTAAATCAGACCCACAGCACCAACAAGACCAGCAGCAACAACGCTAACAATGTCAGCGGATATTTTCTGAGCAGCACCATCGTAAACAGGAGTAGTAGAAGGAGATCGGGTAGCAGAAGAACTACTCCAGGAGCCAGTCATAGACTTCGAAGGACTAAGCATTGTCATGTTCTTCTTGCCACCCATACCTATAGCAGCCATACCAATCGGGGTACCCATGGCAGTCTTCTTTCCAATCTACCGATACAAGCAACATCAGCCCTGCGAAAAAGGGGTGGGGAAGCACCCAGCAAGTAATTCAAATGCAAAGATAATCTAATTTACCTCGACGATAGCAGGGCCAGCAACGATGTTGTCATCAGTCACCTGCTTGTTTCCCTTAGTTAAGACGACATAGCTCTGTCCGGCAACGCCATTGGGAACAGCGACGGTGAACTTTCCATCACCCATGGACTCGAGAGGAGCCCAGACTGGACCGGTGACGGTGACAAAGGCAGCAGCGATGTCACTGGTACTCGTGTCGAAGCCACTGCCAGCAATCAGGTGCACCTTCGAGCCCGTCAACACGGCATCCATCGAGCTCATCATGAGCGAGGGGAAGGCCTTTACGGGTAGAGCGCCGTTGCTGGTGGGACATGAAGCGATGAAGGAGGAGGCGACAGTGTACACCTCGTTGAACCCGAGGGGATTATCAAAGGCCTGGGCGAAAGGGACTTCACCTAGCGCGGTGCGCAGGTATGCACTGTGTCGGGCCTCTGTGGTGAGGATGCTGCCGGCGGCTGTTAGGTAGGTGTCGCTTATGATGGAGGCTGCGGCTCCAAGGTAGGCGCTGACTCCGACACCTGGAGAGGGTATTAGTGGTGGTTGTTGGTATGATTGGATGTGCTTTTACCCTCAAGAACGCTGGCAAGTGCCAGGAAACCGCCGACGTCGGTGGATGGAAAATTGTAGGTGCAGGCGGCGACGGGAGAGGCACCGGCAGCTAGATAATGTTAAAGTATGCTTCAGTTTGCGGGCTGAATGGTAGGGACATACCCTTGAGCGCAGAGGTCAAGAAATCGACGTGCTCCTTCTCATCGGAAGCAACTTTCTTCAGGTTGGCATAGAAAGGATCCTCCATGCCGGCCTTGACAAAGTCCTCCTGAGTGTAGTTCTTGAGACCCTCAGCGTAGAAAGAGGCCTCGAGCTGCTCAAGGGTGAGAGCATAGTTGAGGACGTCGGCTAAAGAAGAGTAACATTAGAGGATGGGCAGTCTATTGGTGATGAAGTTACATACTATCGCTAATAGCACGCTTCGAGACAGGGCCGGCGTTAGCAAGAGCGACAGTAACACCGATGAGAGCGGTATCAGTGAATCTCATTGTGTGATAGTAGATCTTAAAGCTTTATGTCTTGGATCGGAAATCTGGTTGTGAATGAAGAATAAAAATCTACTTTCTAGGTAGAGGGACATGTCTTTTATAGCTGCCTCGCCAGCAGTTTGGGGATCCAATGCATGAACCCTTGTTTTGGATCGGGCATTAGAATTACCTGGCTAAGCAGAAACTAGTCATTATGTTCCTTGTTTTGAAGATTTTCTAGCTGATATGGTTGACGGCTCAGGCGCAAGAGTGAGATCAGCGGTAGGCTTCCCAAATTGAGAGATTAAGTACAGGAGATTCGGATGTATGTCAATAATAACTCCGACAGGGACTAGAGGAAGACCCAGGCCCGAGGAGTCATCATCTGCAGGAGCCACTGTGGATCAAATCTGGGGTTCTAGAGAACTGAACCTGGTCAATCATACCTAAAGGGGAGCACAAAGTCAATGCTTTGGGTGATAAATAAGCTTATTGAGTTCTCGCGCTGTTAGCTTGCATGGGCTGATGACGAGAGCGAGAGCGAGAGCGCGAGAGAGCCAAAGATTGGGGATTAGCGAGGTCAGAACCTAGAACGAGAACGAGACCGACGGCGGGAGCATACGGTGTGTACTGGGGGAACTACTTCAACAACAGAATAGGTCTTAATTGGAATCCTCTTATTACACCAAATCTCATACATCTCTTTGTCTGTTGGTGCTCTCTTGAAATGCTTTCTTGTGACATTCTTACTCTGGTGCGATATACCCAAACATACTGCTTGCTACCCTTTCTCGTACATACGTACAACTGATACAATCACTCGTTATACATGGAGAATTCCTCTGTACGGTTTAAAATTTCTCACACCTTTTTCCATATTTAGCTTTTTCATGATTGAAGTATATATATATTCTGTACTGTGGAGGGGAAAGTCGGTAGCAACATGGACCACCCCCCAAAGCTGCCCAGGTTGTGGGTTCTTTATTGTTGTTGGTTTTCTAGAAGCCACATGGTTGCACTCTTGATTAAACCTCTCAATGGCCCACAAAGCCCATAGCCCAGCCCAACCCAACCCACCAAATGGGCTGGGTTTGGGGCCCTATCTTCGGGCCCCTTGGTGGGTCGTGGGCCCGGAATGAAAGCCCGCAAAGCCCATTCGGGCCCATGATAGCCCTAAATAGCATAAACATACTAATTTATCGTAGCTGTATAATTAATGCATTTTTCTCTGGTTTTTTTTAGGTATTCAAACTACCATCTAATCGATACATAAAGCTATACAGAAACCTTCTTCTTATAAGCTTATAAATTAACTCATAAGATGCAATGTTGATTTTTATAAAGCTTTACTTTTTATAAGGGGTACTTCTTTTTGTTAGGGAATTACATAACTAGTAAGGAGAGGTACCATTAGTGCTACTATAATTAACGCCTCGTTGTAGACCCGGTATATATATCTCTTCATACTAATACCCAGTAATCCTCCTAAGTGCGAATTCGTGGTTAAGTTAGATCTTTTGGGGGTGATTTTATATGAAGTTTTGCATGAAATCTAGTATCATAATGCTTAAATCAGTATGATATCTACTAAGTTCCTGCTTCTTACTATAATAATATGATGAAATTAAATATACAGGCCAGTACATGCGTAAAATACAGCCATTAATCAGCTACTTTATACTTGCCAAAACTATATTTGTGCACAAAAATGGGCTTTTGATGGGCTTTGATGGGCTGTGAGTTGGGCTAGGCTTTGAAGACTGAGCCCATAGCCCACTGCGGGTAAAATCTTCACACCCAGAAGTCGTAAGGGATCCAATCATACGATAATATATTAAGCGACTAGTCATGAAACGATGTACCGGACTTATAATATGGTCGAGGCGAAAACCATTCCCAAGAAAGCAATAAACCGTTGATATCATGTGATATCATGTGATTGTCGACTCCCTACTCCAACCAATCATCAGGAACGTCTAGATCCACGATATCTTTTCCTCGGCATATGTGACCACAATAATTTTCTGGGCTACCAATAAACATTGTCGATACCAAAATAGTGGGGGGCATGTACAGCAGGTTTTAGAGGTTCTGGCACTTCACGTGCGAGACCCGCCCATGGGGAATTTGAATCTTGAATTTAGGAACTCTTCTTTTCAATAGTTGCTGCTTAGTGACTACTCAGTTATGACCCAGTTACTATTATGAATTCTGCAGGCGTAAGCGCCTTTCATCCAACCCCAGAAGAAGATCCGGAGCGCGAGCGGATCCGCGATTTGTCGAGGTTTGTGGCGTTCGGCCATCATCCCTGTCCCACTGATCACCTCTGATTATTGCCATAATAGATATTACTGTACGGTAACTCGAGCATTCCCGGCACTTGATGCGACGAGTTCTGAGAATGAAGAGACGCCCGCAGCACCGACAGGAGATGAACAGCCCACAGGTTGCGAGCTAGCAAAGGACATCACCCTCAACGCACTCGCCCAGCTCGGCGTCCTCCGCTTCAATGTCAATCGCTGCTTTGTGTCCATAATTGACGGCGAAACCCAACATATCATTGCCGAAACGACGGGTTCAGTGTCGCTACGGGATAAGGACCGCCACAAACCAGGAGATGGTATCTATCTCGGAGCACGGTCGCTGGATCTAGTCTGGGGCGTATGCCCCCACACCGTCAAATTGTTCACAGGTCGCGCGACGAACGATATCAATACCGCTAATGTAACCGCCAATCACACCCGCTATATCATTCGAGATTTCACCCTGGAGGATTCTTTCAAGGATCGACCTTATGTTCGAGAGTGGCCGCACATGCGCTTCTACGCAGAGGTGCCTCTATTCAGCGCATCTGGATACGTTCTGGGCTCTTACTGCATCGTCGACGATAAACCATGGACGGAATTCGGAGACGATCAGGTCAATGACCTCCAGGAAGTGGCGGATGCCATCGGGTTGCATTTGGAGAACGTGCGGATGAGCCTGGCTCACATCAGGACCGAGAAATTGGTCAAGGGTTTGACAAATTTTGTTAAAAACCATGCCGACTTTGATCCAAAAGAGTCCTCTAATCATGGCCGTCTCCAGTCTAGTGTCAATGCAGCGAATCTCGTACCACATGAAACTGCCGCCACCTCTGCGGACGCTGACGACAACTCCGATATCACCCCGGTTATTGATGTGCCATTGTGCCCCGCTGTTCAATGTGTTTCTCCCAAATCCAGACAATCGTCTTCCTCGACTGTCGCGGGGGAAGAATCTATGTTCTTCTTGCAGGATCACACGACTGAGCCTTCATCTCTGTACTCGGGTTTCTCAGATCGACCAATGGTGCTGAGCCCCGGCGAAGAAAAGTCTATGGGCGAAGCAATGAAGTTAGGACCGACCGGTGCACCTCAAGGTATCGACCAAGGCTTCTCGCAATTATCCTTGACCGAGAGCAAGCCCACACACGAACGCATTTCATCCATCTATTCGCGCGCAAGTGCGTTGCTCCGGGACTCTATGGATCTGGACGGGGTTGCATTTCTCGATGCCTGTCCAACTAATTCTGCCTTGTGAGTACGTCGGTCTTCCTATCGAGTGATATTTAATAACATTTTTTCGTTAGTGTACCCGAAGAACCAGAAACTTGGGAACCGAAACCTGCAGAAGCTAGTTTCTCTGCTGTGCCACTACCTAGTCCCCTTGGACAATCCCGGGTTGCGTCGCAGGAATTCGACCTTCCATGCGAGGCTTTGAGCTGTGCGCTAAAATTGCCATCTAAAGGCAGTGCTGGTCCGAACATTCAACCTAGTATACCACAGGGATTGCTTCATCAAATGCTCAAGACTTTCCCCCAAGGCCAAATAATGAGTCTAAATGAGGTCGTTGACGAGGGTGATTATCTCTCGAATGATAATACTAGCACCTCTGATTCTCGGCCTGATCACAACACCCGGACTTGTGCAAAACATCTTGCACGGTGTCTTCCCGGTGCTAAATCTGCCTTGTTTCTCCCTTTGTGGGATTGGAACAAGTCTCGTTGGCTTTCTGGAGTGCTAGTATGGACGACAAGCAGTTACCGAGCGCTCGGTCTAGAGGAGTTACACTATTTCAAGATTTTCGGTGATTCTTTGATTTCTGAAATTTCCCGGATTCATTGGGCAAGTACCGAGAGATCAAAGTTCGATTTCATATCCTCCGTCAGCCACGAGCTTCGCTCACCACTGCACGGAATACTGGCGAGTGCTGAGTTATTACATGCCACCACTCTTAGCCGATCACAAGAAGAGATGGTGACGATGATTGAAAAATCCGGACTGACCTTGCTGGATACAACGAATCACATGTGAGTCTACCTGAGTAGAGCTTCCTGGATATGAACATTGTTCTAATATGTTTTAGGTTGGAATTCTGCAAGTTCAACAACTTGAGACATACGAACACCCTTAAAGAAATTACCTCAGAAAATGACACGGCCAATCTTGTTTCAGACTTCAACATTAGCCATTTGGTGGAAGAGGTTGCAGACATATTATACACCGGCCAACGAGCACCCGAGCAGGTGAGCAAGCTCGCTAAACGGATGTCATCCAACATGGAGGCAACCGATTCAATTACCAAGGATTCCAGCGCACAAAACCAAATTTCCGTCGTCATACGAGTCGACCAAACAGACACTTGGATGATTCGGTCTCTTGCAGGCGCCTGGAGAAGAATCGTGATGAACCTTCTCGGCAATGCGTTGAAGTGGACTACGGCCGGCTTCATTGAAATAGCGTTGTCAAAGGCAAGGGACCGATCGGACTCCAAGTCACCCCTTGTTCGCCTTTCTGTCACTGATACCGGCCGCGGAATCGCACCCGATTTCATCAAACACAAGCTATTTACCCCATTTTCTCAAGAAGACCCGCTCTCTGAGGGCGTCGGGCTGGGCCTGAGCACGGTCCAGCAATTGGTCATGTCGCTCGGGGGGCATGTGAATGTAAGGAGTGAGTTGGGCGTTGGGACTCAGGCCGATGTCTACATCCCCGTTCAATATCTACCGGTTAGTCTTGGTCCGGAGGATAGCCCGGCTCCAACAACCACTCAGCCAGGAACCACCCCGATGCATGCATGCCTGGTAGGCTTCAATGGTTACCCTGACCTCACAGAGCCTCCCACTGGGATCCTTACTGTCGAAGGCAAACGAAATCTTTCCATACAGAGTGCACTGGCAAACATCTTCATGACGAAGATGAATTGGAATATCTCTCTGGCTAACTCCATCGAGGAGGCTCGTGGCCAGGTCATTGTCATCGAGCAAGAGCTTCTCAGACGAGTTATGGATGAAAATGATCAACGTGTTTCCGAACTTGCGGCTCAGAATGGCGTTGACTTCTTTATTGTGCTGAGCGGCAATGTCCCAATCATATTGGACAGCCTCTCTGTCAACGTCATCCGCGTTGCCCAACCGTACGTTCCAGTTTATCTTTTTTTTGGGGGGTATGAAAACTAATCCCTCTTGCAGATTCGGACCACAGAAGATTTACAACGCCGTTGAGAGGATTATGAAGTGGCGCGAAATTAAAATACCACTCACGTCCCCTGCGCCGGACCCTACCGATCCTGCTTTCTCGCTCATGCCTCCGCAGAGAAAAACAGAAATTAGTTCAGACTCGAGCCCTGGTATCTATGAAAGAGGGATATCTGAGTATTCACATCGAGCAACGGGCTCATCGGGAGGCTCAAACGCCTCCACACCCCGACCATCTAGCAAGCAGGCACTGGTCCATGTGCTCATTGTGGATGATAATGAAATTAATGTCAAGGTATGTCCCGCACCGCTTCCTAGTTTTGGAAACACTGCTAATCCAAATCACAGATTATGGCCACCTTCATGCGCAAAATAAACTGCAGCTACGACACAGCCCACAACGGCCTCGTTGCACTGGAGAAGTACAAATCCTCCAACGTTCACTACGACTTCATTATGATGGACATCTCAATGCCGGTGATGGACGGTCTCGTCTCAACGAGCAAAATTCGCGAATTTGAACGTGAACATCGTCTCAAACCCTCTTGCATCATGGCTGTCACTGGAGTTTCCTCCATCGGCTTCCAGAACCAGGCCACTACGGCTGGTATCGATAACTACCTCATCAAACCCCTCTCTCTTCGCGCTCTCAAAACTCTTATGAACATTGCATGATACCATATATTTGAATTTCGGACGGCAGGTTCTTGGCCCTCATTGCACAGCATGGCGTTGGTTGCTTTTTTCAATTTTTCAGGTTTATATACAAAATAAACCATGAGAATTGTATTTCGGCTCTAGGTCACAATCCATATTTTGGCGGGATTCTTCTATCTAAAGTTGCTTCAGGTCTCAAGAGAACACGTACATTATAACGTAAATTTGATATGAAACATGCCAAGGATCCCCAGATTTCGCGAGTACGTACATCCTTGACATGATCCCTGTAGTGCTGAGCGCAAATCATATGCCTCGGGTGTCTCTGCTCCGTCTTGGCCTTACCAATGCTTACCCCTCTTCCATTGTTAGCCGTGCATGTTCTGTATGTTGTACATTATCGAGGAAAGCTCAAAATGAACCACATACCTGCTGCTTTAACAGCGGGTTTATAAAGTCGGAGGCATAAAGGACAGCGGATGCATAAAGTGGAGTGTGAACGTATTCCGACTAGGATTCCCCCAAATATCACAGTAATATCTCATTTAGTCTGATGGCATTTATTAATTTAAATTTAGCTCTAGGAACGATATGCTTTCATGTAGCTAAAGTCGAGTACATCTGGAGCCTATCGCAGTGTTGCATTGGGGCTGGGGTGTTGAAATCCCATCTTTGTGTGTCGCATTGGAGGAGTTGAAGACCAATCAATTTGTGTTGCAAGGGCTGTGAGTCGCTCGGGCTTTGCTTCGCTCGGGCTTTAGGTCATGATTGGCATGGGTCTCGTTCAGGATCGATCAATCTTTTCTAGAATGAGCAGAACTGCCTTGTCGCCGTGTCCCTTTACATAGTCTATAAGTTCCTCAGTGACGACCTTCACCAGGCCCTCTGCCACCAACTTCTCGACCTCGGCTTTGAACCCTGCGGGCACCCAGATCTCTTCCAGAATTGTTGAAACAACAACGCCTTTAGTCTTAGTGACCCGCACAAGCTCTCGCAGAGCAGGATCTGGTCCAACATGGCCAAGAGTGAATGTTCCCACACAGGACACGAGATCGTACGTTCCATCCGTCTTTCCAATGGGCCGGTTCATGTCGGCAACTGTGAGATCTCGATAGATGCCGGTCTTTCTTGCGATAGACAACATGGCGGGAGATAGATCAATGCCATCGATCGCTTTCGCATTAGCCATTGCAAGAGCCACTCCCACCAGTCCAGTCCCGCAACCGGCATCCAATATCACGCTGTTTGAGGCGCCGTTTGAGAGTCCGTATTTGATGGCGGCTTGAGCGACAAGCACGGGAGCAACGTAGTCCTGGGCACTGTCTCCAACCTCCTCGTCATATGAGGCTGCCCATTTCTCGTATAGGGCCATGCAATCTTCGGTGCTGCCGCTGGCGCGGGCTTGACTGAGGTATAGTTCGCTAGCCGAGCTTGAGGCCTTGGCCTGGTGTGGAGTTGGGGCCAACATCGTGGGGAAATGAGGTTGATTGCCGAACAAGAGATTTTTCTAAATGGTTTAGGAGGTTGGAATATTGCGTTTTCTTGTGATGGGTTTTTGGTGATTTCTGGTCTGAGAGATTAGAATCGAGTGAGTAGTAGTCCGTTTCCAACCCTGTGCCCGACGCCCTTCTTATAGTAAGTTAGAGCTATATGTCCGTGCGGACATGGCTTGGACATGGAGGATAGTCCGGAATTAATGGCGTGATGCGGGGTTATTGACGAGTAACCCCCAAAAGAGTGACGTTTCGTCGATCGATGATGTCGGTGGAACATAGTTTCAGGTGAGCTGAGCCTGGGCCTGGGCATGATGCATGCCCCTGCGCTAAGTATGTACCCCTCCAGGCTGCTGTTTTGCTACCGAGGCAATGAAAACAGATCTGTTTTATTCAATGTTCAACTAGATTGAAGTAGTGGGCATCTTGGTCGACTTGGGGCACTGACTGGAGTCGTACACAAACACTATAGAATCTCAATTGAGTGAATTGTATGTCTCACGAATCTCTCTGGAATCCACTTCCCCGCCAGTCATCTCCCATGCCAAGGGGGATTTTGCTTGGCCAATCATCAGATCTGGTCTAAGCATGTATGTTGTAACTCGTTCTCCAGATATCCCCCATCAATCAAGATTAGATTGGCGTGGATGGGCCCCACCGGGATTACCACTAAAATGTCGATCTATTTCCCGAACTGGTTTGGCTCCATCTTAGCCTCAATCTATTCCAAGGGTCAACGGAGTAATGGGCTGTGAAGTCATCAACCTCATTTTTCTTGTCCGTCCTCTTTACATGCACCTATGCATCATTGCCTAGTTTCCATTGGATATTGTTTTTCTAGGTTTCGAGACCGCGGCATTGCGTCCCGTTCGATCCAATAGCAGTGAATCCATAAACCCGGGGTGGGAGTGAGAGAATAATAATTTGCCGCGGTAGCCAGCGTAGACTGATGGTCAGTCAATTCCAGCTCCGCATAGGCCGCCCTATTTGGCGGCATGCAGACCACGTGTAACTATGTGGCATTTTCCTTGTAGCCTTGATTTTAAGGTTGAAGATTTTCCTTCCATTTCGGGATAGCTATTTAGCAAACAGCTCTTTCTCTTCTAATAAAACTCCGGACGGGGAGTTGGGACTCGGAGAATATTGACTACCTAGGCTATGTGAATACCTATGTGAGGGAGTATGTGTAGATATTGTCTAGTTAGATGATGTTTCTAAGCTGGAAAGCATAACAATCAACAGATGGTGGGGTTGGGCGATGAATGGAGGTGACATGCGTCTCACATTATCAAATGACTCTAAGTTAACTAACTGGTTATTGCGACGCTTTATGAAAAAAAAAAAAAAGATGAAAAAAAAATTAAAAACATACAACATTGAGTCTAAGGTGGTGGTCACCTAGCACTCACGGTTCGGGCGTGGGCGGCTCGCCGCTCTATTCAGGGCATTCAGGGCAGATATTCACCCACCTGAATATTCCTCACTCAAATATTCAGCCCGTACAGCAAAAGGTACATTTCCCATCATGGCCATAAAAGCTACAAGTACCCTTCTTTTCCCCTTCATGTTCATCTTTCCAGGCAACGAAGGGAGGGATACGTGACCAAGGAGGACCAAGCGTATCGCAGGACAAGGACTGTCCTAGGATAAGACTAGTCTCAGGATAAGCGTAACTCCAGAATTTACTTTCAGAAGTATATCCAAGAGTCACCCAAGAAGTAGGACACGAAGGATATATAAGGACACTCATTCATGTACTTGGTTTAGTTCTTCGTCTTTAATCATAAGTCGTTACTCGTGCTTACCTTTTGAATTACTGTGGCTCTTTACTTGATTATAACTTGACAACACTCACGAGCAGACGGTTCAGGCCTCAAATGCAACAACATGCTCCTCTCTATTGCCGACGAATCGCAAGTGGATAAATATAAAATTAGAAAAACTTTTGAGAAGAGACTACAATCTGAGCAATCGCACCATGAGAGCTGTCCATACACTACGTCCGACTCGTCCATCACAACCAGCTCAGAAATTGCTATCAGTCCAAGCATCACCTCCGGCACATTGACCGAAGCGTTGGCTCCAACAATCGTTAACAAAATAAGCCTTAGCCCCAGTAGCAAGTCACATACTGTGTATACACGTGCAACAGTTTCAACTGGACACCTAGGATTGGCCAGTAGCTACAGCCAGACCCGTCGCTCAATGGAAGCTCTGCAAAAATCAATTGGTCGTATCTGCTTGATAAAGTAAGATTATTTGCTTTGGTAATGAAAGTTCATATAACTGTAAGCATATAATTTTCAAGAAGACTGGCGCTCAATTACCAGCGCCTCGAGCCTCGACGACAGCGGTCGCCTGAAGCTCCTCTATATCACCCACGATCGTATCTTCTGGTCGCCATACAGTGATGGTTGCTTTCTTAGACCCTTTATAATCAACATCGAGGGCAATCACGGCGTTCACGATTCCATCGGTATTTAGGATGTACTCGTCTGCTAAGTGCGAAACGCGTTGACTTTTTTGCGAATAGCACACCTCAATAATAACACCTGGGTAGCGTGCCCGCCAGTGCTTGAAGGATGCATCTGGTTCCCGTTTGGAATAACTCTGTTTTCCATCCTTTATCTCACCAGGTATCATAATTCGGGAATTAGTAAGGTGCTCGACCTCATTCGCAAAACTAGCGGAGGGGTCTTCGCTTCGTTAGAACTGTTTTAGTTACCGTGAAAGCTCCTCGACTATCTTTGCACAGAAAACATCATAGAGAGGACTTACCATTCGGATAGTTAGGCAGGAACGACAGGGGTCGTAGTCGTACCTATAATACATCTGCGGCGACATCCTTAGAACCACTCTCTGCTGCAGACGACAGTTGGATCAAGTTTTTGTCGCCAGACACGCGATGGTACTGAAACCATTTCCTTGCATTCATGAGGAATGAGGCATTATAAATCGCCATAATCAACTAGGGGAACGGGGAAGGGGTTAATTTAGAATTTCGTGCTCAAGGTTTCCTTCAAAGGTGACAAGGGTGAGTGCACTATAGACAGGGTGAGAATGTAAGAGTATACAGTTTTCAGGTGTAAGGCCTGTAGGTATTCAGGGAGTCCTGGACTATGTGTGTGCCTACGCTTCACGTGAGGGCCATGCGATGATTCCTTGGCGATTCGTTCTCGATACTCGACCGATGCGGTCAGGTGACTCCGTCTCATATTGTAAGGATCTTTATCTGTTACAGAGAATCAGGGTGAGAATGACCCAAGTCGCGCGACTACCGCATTTACCCTCCCAACTGAGCCCGTAAGTTAAAGATCTAGACATTCATGAAGTCTATACTACAATAGCTAAACCTATACCCCTCAGGAGGTTAAGGAGTAGACCTCCGTAAAGCTCATAAATGGGCTCGGGCCGTAGGCCCACGACCCAACCCACGGTGGGCTATGGGCTCAACCTTCAAAGCCCAACCTAACCCACAGCCCACAGTGGGTTAGGCTGTGGGCCCCCATAAAAACCCATGCAGGCGCTGACAGAGTGGGCTCTATAATCGTTGTAGTTATAACTATAGTTCCATTAGCGGCGATAACTAAGTTTTTGCATGGCAGAAACCCCATTGTCAAATTTGGCCTTGACCTACCGTAGTACGATAACCTTGGGAGGGATCCCCGATTTATTTTTGTGAACAATTTTTAACTTATTTCCCGGACGAAGTGCGCACCTCACCCATTGAATTTAAATGCATTTTCATCCCCAAAACGCCATTAAATCAAATAAACCAAAATCACCATGTATCTGGGTATCTATTGATTTTATGCCCTAATTTCCACCTTCTGTATATTTGGGTAAGACCCTAGTTCTTGCCTTTGGCTTTTGATGAACTACTAACTGTCGTTGACCAGGTACTAGAACAGAGCAAGGCGTCCTCTCTGACCTTCGCTGGCCCTGGGTTGCTCTCTCGGTGTTTACCACGAGCTAACTCAGGTTTCGATGAGTTTCAGGATCCAGGGAGCGCTTGCAGCTCGGATGAGAGCTTTCATGATGCTATTGAGAAAAACTCACTAGTTACGGAGCGTTTCGTTGCTGTAGAATAAGTCTTCTTCCGTTGCTCGATAAGATCTTATGCATATTGATGCGACTACTTGGCTCCCCAGCACAGTACAGGCTGGTATCCTACATCTGGCTCTTGATTCCAAGCAACCAGTCTTCATTTGGAAGGTAGAAAATAAGAGATTCCTTTAGAGAGGGCTCTGCTTATGGGAGAATCCTCTTGAGGGAATCAGTCACAATAGCGCCTGCTTAAGAGCATAGGCGATACAGAAGACTATACGTCATATGAACTGGCTCTTCGTGTTACATCTCTTCTAGTCTAATAACTCTAGGCCCAGACCAGTCCTGAGATGATCTAAAGGTGATCATATGGGTTGCGGCCGGCGGTTTAGCCGGACACTGTTCAGTGAGGACTGATTTAATTGGCAAATAAGCTTACTGTAAGAGTGGGCAGCTGCAGTGGCTTTTATTGGGCGACAATATAACAGCGCTACGGACGCTAGACACGTCGCTGAAGGCACAGCCAGGTGTGATCCCCTGCGGCTTGCAGGGCTTACGTAATTAATGCCTAAGGCAGAGAGGCACTGTCCACACAGGTGGTATTCCGTATTATAAGGGTCCAATCAATGGTATTCAAGTCTCTGTCTTTCTGTATCCACTATTCTGACAATTTATACTATCCTGATTACATAAGAAATATTACTGCATACTGGAGGATTAATAAATCCTCCGGTATTCCGGTATGCTGGTGCTGCATATACCAACACACCCCCTCAGCGGTCCCAGTATGGGATCGCTGTCTCTTCTCATCTAAACCAGCATATAGCTGATATCTACCATCCTCAGCATCCTGAGAAAATTCTCGTGCTTCTGCCGAGATAGCAGCTTCGTCAGTCCGTCGGCAACCATGCTCGCTGTCGCTACCCATCGCACGCGAATCCTTCCTTCCCGAACTTCTTGCCGAAGCCAGTGCCGATGAATATCCACGTGCCGAAGCTTCGTTTCAAACGCCGTGTCTTCGCTCGTCAATAATCCAATCGTCCTTTCGTTGTCGCAATCGATCGTCAGGTGGTGGGATGGAATAAAACCAAGGCTTTCGAGTAGTCGGCGCCACCATTGAACCTGCTTTCCGGCTTCAGATAGCCCGAGCAGCTCGGCTTCCGTGGTGGACGTCGTTACGGTCGGCTGTTTAGTCGCTTTCCAGTCGACCGGGCCTCCGTACGCCTGGCAAATATACCCTGCGGAGCTCTTCCTGTCCTGGTGGTCTCCGTACGAAGCATCGCTAGCGAACTGAATCGAGTCCATTTCGACCTCGGCACTGTACTCGATCGCGAGATTTCGCGTGGTATACAAATACGTAATGACTCTATCAGCAGCTCTCTGGTGTTCCGGTCCAGGATTTGTCAAAAATTGAGCTAATCGTGCGGTCGCTTTTACAGCGTCGGGTCGGGTGATCGTCGTCGCATACCCTGCGGATCCCACTTTCTTCTGGTATAATAGGATCTCCTGTGGGGTTGCGGCACCCGTGTAGGGAGTCAATTCTTCGATAGGCAGTGGTGTATAGACCGGTGGTCGGTCTATCAGATTGAATCGATTCGCGATGCTTGTCACATAGCTATCTTGGCATAGCCATAATTTCTTTTGTCTTCTATCTCGGAGTATCCGGATATTCAAAAACCATGCTGCTTCTCCATGATCTGTCAGTTCCCAGTGCGATTCCAGATCTCTTTCCAGCTGGTCAGCCTGCTTCTTGACGTCAGGATGACTAGCAATTAAGATATCATCCACGTAAAAGAAGACTAAAATTCCATCCCCAGTAAACACACAGGGATCCTCGGGTGCTTGCTTTAGTCCTAGCTTTCGTAGCACCTTCGAAGCTTCTTGCTGCCATAGTCTCGGCGAGATCCGTAGTCCGTACAGTGCTCGCCGTAACTTCCAGCACTTCCCTGGGATCTGAAATCCTTCTGGCATATGCGAGTACGTCTCTTGCTCCAGCTTGCTATTCAAGAACGCGGTAACAGCGTCCCGCTGTCGCAGATTCAGATCAAATGCGGCGACCAAAGCGAAGATCATCCTTGCGGTCCTTGCTGCTAGTGTCGCAGCTCTCTTTTCCTGGTACGTGATCGTTTCGAGGTCTCCACGTACGCAAATGCGGGCTTTGAACTTCACCAGGTATCCGTCCGCATCAAATTTGTAGGTAAAGACCCACATTAACGGCAGTATCTGTACTCCTCGGTCTCTTGGTTTCTCGATAACCTCAAACGTCTCTTTCTCGGCTAACGACCTTATTTCCTTCGCTGCTGCTGCGAGAAATCCTTGCTGAAAAGGGTGATTCAGGACCTCTTTCCAGTGTTTCGGGGGCGGTGGAAGGTCGTCTCGGTGACGACGGGTGTCTGGTTTCTCGGCGTATAAACCTGCCGCGAAAGCGTGTAGGAAGGCGGGCGGTTCTTCTCCTTCTGGAGCTATCTTGATCGTAGTCGCGTAGGCGTAATCGTCATCTCTTCGTGCTCTGCGCGTACGACTTCCTGTCAGTATGTTACTGACGTCTACACTGCTGTTGATTTCTCTGCTTGGTGCTAGCAATTCAGATTGTAGCTGTCTTTCTAGATCGTCCTCTTCACTTTCATTGGTCCGATCTTCTTCTTGCTGGGCCTGGTCTTCTATTAGATGATCATCCTGATCACCTATATCCACCCCCTGACCAGGGTCAGCGTCCGATTCGGGCTCGTGCGGAGGCGTATTCGGCAGCGGGGGTAGGTCCTCGGCCGGGAAAGCACCTGGCACTGCTTTCTGGGGTTCGCTTCTCTCTTGGATTTCACCTATCGCCATTCTCGGCGGTCCTATCGGGGTAGGCATGCTTGCCTGGGTACTCACCCCCTGAGGTGGGGTAGTATCTCTCACCTCCTGACTTAGGGTGGTGCGAATAGCCTCATTTTCTTTATCTTCGGGCCGAAAGGTCTCGTTATCTTCGTTTTCGTCTTCATCCCGCGGGGCTTCTGGTGGTGGGGGAGCTTGCTGCTCGCGATCTTCCTGGTCATCTTCCTCGCGAGTCCTTTCCAGTATCCCGACAGGTTCCCGACTCGCTAATTCACGGTTTACCAGTTCGGTAATCTCAGCGAGTGAGATCTCTTCTGGCTCCTTGGCTAGCGGCATAGGAATCGGCTGGAATTTCTCATAATCCGGTGTGTATTTACGAGATTCATCTATGATAGCATCCCTGATATGCCTCACTTTTCCTGAGTGTGGAAACCAGATCTGATAGATATTGGACGCCACGTATCCAACTAGGAATCCAACTTCTGCGCGAGGATTCATCTTATCTGACTTCACCTGGTGTTCAATTCGACAGTACGCTAAGCTTCCGTATAACCTCACTTTCGCGAGATTGATTCGGGGTGGAATCGCGCCCTTTAAGAACTCCTTCCGCACTTCCTCCCACGGTATGATCCACCGATTCTCGGAAGCAATGTACGTCGGGGTACGGTTCAGCATCCACACGGCGGCACCGGCGAAATAGGGCCATAATTCCTTCGGAAGCTTCCCTTCGAGCGCTAGCATCCGCATTCGGACGATTATCATGCCACCAGATCTCTCGG